CTCGGAGAGAATTCAGGAGAATTCAGAGATACAGAAGTAGTTTGAGCATGTAAAACCTCATTTTCTTAGGAAACAAAGGATGAAAAACATGACAGAAGATCCACCAGCAGGCTGGGAAGGGAATTCTGCTGTTCCTTTGCCCAGGATGGATCGAAGGCAGACCTCACTATTTAGGAGAAAGACCAGATCCCGTTCAGCATCCTGGCTGCAGCCAGGATGACGGTGCCCGTGTTTGGGTACCGCAGCTGCTGCCTTTCCTTTAGGCTCTGTCACCATTTCAGTGTGTTGGAAAATTTTTTTGCAAGGACAGCAGAGTGCTTGTGGGGCCTTTGTTTTTAGTTCATTAGAAGCTTTCATTATTTTTTCTACTCTAGAGCCTTGTCAGCCCTCATCACCATAGTATTTGGATATCATGCAATACAGTCCTATGACTGTATTTGAAGAGGTGAGTATGACATTTCAGGGTTACATTGCCCCAATATCAAAGCAATTAATTTATATTTTCATCTCTCTTGCTGCAGGCACAATTGCCATCTGTGGTGAGTGCTTTTATTTGCCTCATTTTATGGAGGAATTAAGTGAGTTTGAGTGAATTTCTCAAAAAACAAACCAGCGATCAAAGCCAGGCACACTGTCTGATTTAAAAAAATTAAATAACTTCCAACAGCACATTGGCAAGTGCAAATTTGTTCTGAAAGGAACATTTTCTTAATGGTGTTTTTCAGCATAAATATACTATCAGCTTAAACACCTCCAGTAAACAAGTATCAGTCACCTTAAACATTTCTTGCTCGTGGAAGAGCTTTCATTGTGAGGGAGACACTCCCTAAAAGTCTTGTTCTATTCTTCGATTCCATGGACTCCTCAGCTGCATTTGGATTAAAATGTATTTTTATCTGGAGACCAGCGAGACCTTTGCAGCAACTAATTTTCCTTGTGAGACCTTCGTTGGGCAGCAGCATTTCAGTACAGCCAGTGTGAAGATGGGTAAACTGCAGTGTGGGGAAACATTTGCTGAAGGTTAATACAAAGACCGAGAAACATGGATAGAAAGAAATCTTGTAGCTTTTCTCTCTACCTCTGAGAATAAGTTTCTTTTGAATTACTGTCTCCTCTAGCAAGTTGTTTATTAAAACACTTAAACTGATTGACTCAGGTCAAATAGTTTATTGAATTTCTAGTTTTAAAATGAACTTTGCTAATGCAGTGACTGTTGCCAGTCTTAGCAAACATTTGCTAATATTGCTTACCAAGGTGCTTTAAGACATCCTCTGATTAACAAATAAGCTGTCAGTCCATCCACCATGAATGCTTAAGGGTAGCAATTTAATACTCAGAAAGCACATTTTCTTATTGGAGATTAAATATTTTTGCAAGTTAAAAGAGCTGCTGTGGGCTGAGTTGTCACCTAATTATGTCAGTCTCTTTGTGGGATATTTTGATAAGCACATCAGAGGAGACACTTTAATCTTTATGCTAAATCTGATCACATCACGTCCCAAATTCACACGTACAAGGAGTCTTCCCGATGAAACCCTGACTCCTCTGTTTCACTGAGAGCAGAGCGTGGTGAACTGAAGCCGAGGGGCCTCGTGTTTCATCTGTGCTGAGAACGAGCCCCCCTTCAGCAACCGGTGGGGTTACAGCCATGGCTGCGAGTTGCATGAGGGCAACAATTTGAGGTGGGTGAAGTTATCGCCAGCTCGGGTGCATCATAGCCACTGACCCTGAGAGTAGGTCGTATTCCTAATTTATAAAGCCTTTGTCCCATTCTACTCTGGGAGTATCTTCTGCATGTTCTGCTTGGTCCTTTATTTTCCTCAAGATGCACAAATTCATCTGGCTGATGTGGTTAGATCTGGGCTTGAAACAGTATCTTCTTTCTTGAACCCTGTTTTGGGGCTAAATACTGACATGTTGGAGGAAATTTCTTGTACTGTTGCTTGCTCTTTTTTTTTTTTTTTTTTTTTTTAACTGGAATTATAGCAAAAAGCTTTTGTTGGTGGTAAGGAATCCAGTAGACAAAAACTACCACAGCCACATGCTGCTAGGCTTGATGAAAGAAGAGTCTGTTTAGAATCACAGTAAATGTGTCAATAAATACAAATCAAATGCAAATTAAATAAAAGGTTTTCATATACTCCATTCTCCTTGAGATCAGACAAAAATAAATGCCACACAAACAAATGGGTTTTATGAAATATTCCAAAAATAAAACCACTCTTGCAATGAAGCCAAAAATGAGATCGTCTCCACGCCTTTCCAGCTGCTAAGAGCCATTATTTCTCTTTGTATCACAATAATACTCAAAGATTTTGGTTTCAATTGAAATCAGTTATGGCAGGTGTTGTAAAGGGGTGGCTCAACCTAAGTGACATGGCACAAAAAATACCAGAGCTGAGAACAGATCCCGAATCTGATTCCCAATTCAGTGCCTCTCGTCAATAAATCATGTTGCCTCTTACATAGGAGAGTTCTTATCAGAAATAAATGGTTTTGGCTTTAAAGCAAATCTGCAAAGGAAGGTAAGTTTCATCCAGGTGGGTTTTTTTCCTCTCTCTTTTTTTTTTTTTTTTTTTTCCTGTGAGAAGTTCAGGAAGTAAGATGGAAAGTGCTGAGAACAGACCCTGCATGACTCGTAGTTTTATCTCAGCCTGCATCCGTTCTTCAAAAGTGGTAAATGATATTTCATCATCATCATCTCTCCAGGGGGTGAGGACTGACTAAAGGCAGTCACACAGGTACCAAACAAAAAGCCCCAAGCCCAGGAAGCCTTGCTTCCTCTGGGAAATCCTGAGATCATCCCAGGATAAGCTCACTGATTTTACTAAAAAGCATTAATATTAAAGCATCCAACACACTGTTGATCTACATGGATGATAATTAATAAATGATAAAGTAAAACACAGGCTGATGGCATGGTGTCTTGGCTGCTTTGTTTTCCAGAAACATTTGATGCAATTTAATCCAAGCACTCAAGATGTCTCATTTAAAAACATGTGTGTTCTATGTGATATCTATGCATGTACCGCTGGTTTTGAGCCAGGAGCCCCATCAATGTACCAGGCATGAGCCTGAAGGGCCAAGCAGCCAAACCATTTTGAATCTGAAATCCCTTCAAGCCTACAAAAAGGTTCTACCATGCTGTGGAAAATGGCTCTTCCCATGCCCAGCGAGCCACTCCGGCAGAAACCTCTCCCAATTCTAGCAGCTCGGCGGCTGGATGTGGTTTCCATGGAAATAGACGTCAGATCAGCAAAAAACAGGGCAAGTGTTTAAAATAATCTCTGTTTTGAATGCTTTATGCATTCCTGTCACAATATTAACCTTCCTCAAGGTAGGATTTTTTTTTTTTTTTGGTGCAAAATCCTTGTTTTTAGGAGTGTGCACAAGAAGGGTGGGTTGCCTCAGAAAAGTCCTTTCTTAGGTATTTAGAGTATGGAGACTGCTGTGCTGGGCTTGCGTTGTAGCAGAGATTTGTGCCGTTCTCCGGCCATCTGCCTTTTGCGCATATCGACTCTTGGTGTAACTCAAGCAACTGTAGCATGAAAACCACCACGGGAATTGTGCAGAAATCATTTGCACAGAACATGTGAAATGCAGCCAGTTCATTTAAAGCATATTTGTGAGCGAACCACTTATCTACGCTTGGCAATAGCGTTATCTTGGGAAGGGAACTGCTCACAACACAGCCCTGGGACAAGGACAGATCGTCTTTACACGGCCATTATGTACATACTATGGAATCTGCATGAATAATGGCTCTTCTGGATGTGCTTTGACTTGCTGGTGTCACCCCAAAGGAGAGGGTGGCCTTGTGGCTGTCCCCCAAAATACACTATCAGGGGCTGTGGGGCCAATGCATTGTCAGACCCACAGATCCCCGTTGGGGTTGGCCTGTGGTGGCTGTGACCCTGAGGTGACCAAAGGAACATGGTGCTCATCTTGGTGATGACCAAGAGCCCTGAGGTTATCGTGGCCCTGAGAAAACTGACTGGCCCTGAGGTGGCCACGACCTCAAGTAGGTGACCATGGCCCTGAGGTGCCTGTGCCCCCAAGGCAATGAGCCTGAGATGACCATGGTGTTGAGGTGATCAAGGGCTCTGAGGTAGGTGACCGTGGTCCTCAAGAGACCATGGGCCCGATGTAAGTGGTCACGGCCATGAGGTGACCCTGGCACTGCAGTAAGTTGCCAATGGCTTTGAGGCGACCAAAATTCCTGAGGTAGGTGGCTGTGGCCCCGAGATGATCAACGGCGCTGAGGGAGGTGACCATGGCCCCAAGATCAGTGGCCATGGTTCTGAGGTGACCATGGCCCTGAGGTGACCAAGGAGGCCCTAAGGTCGGTGTCTGGGACCATGAGGTGACCCTGGCCCTGAGGTGACCATGGCCCCAAGGTAAGTGGCCATGGCCCTGAGGTAACCACAGCCCTGAGGTGACCATGGCCCCAAGGTAGGTGGCCATGGCCCTGAGGTAACCACAGCCCTGAGGTGACCATGGCCCCAAGGTAAGTGGCCATGGCCCTGAGGTAGCCACAGCCCTGAGGTGACCGTGGCCCTGAGGCCAGCGGCCAGCCCCGAGGCGACCATCCAAACCACGTCTCCGCTCCTGCCAAACACCCCCGAGGGACCGGGCGACCCTGCCCGACCGAGGCTGCACCAGGACCCCCGCTCCTCCCCACCAGCGGGGCGGGAGACAAAGGGAGTCCCTTCGCCCTGCGAGCACGGGAGGAGAGCCCGGGGCGGGGGGGGGGGGGACGGGACCCGATCCCGGAGCAACCGGCGGAGACGAAGGGCGTTCGCAGCGAGGTCCCTCACCCTCCACCCGAGCCCCGCCGGGCCGCGGGGGTCGCCGCCCCTCGCCTCCACCGCCCGTCCATGGCGGACTACATCTCCCGCCATGCAACGGGCGGTGGGGAAGGAGGAGGAGATGGGGAGGGGTAAGGGTGGGGGGGTGTGAGGGGCGCGCGCCCCCCCCCCCCCGCGGCGGGCGGCACGTGCCGCCGCTCTCGGCCAATGGGGGCGGGGCGGGGAGGGTCACGTGCCATTGTTTGGCGCTTTTGTGCACGGCGGGAGCGGGCGGGAGCGGAGTGTGGGGCTGGAGCGGCGGAGCGGGCAGGTGGGTGCGCGGCGGCGGCGGGACCCAGCCGGGATTTTGGGGCCGGGGAGGGGGGGTATCCGCGGCCCTTCGGGTGTGGAGGAGGACGAGGAGGTGTGGAAGGGGCGATGGTCCACGGAGGTCCGGCGTTCCGTGGGGATGGGCGGCGGTGCCGCGGTGAAGGGAAGCGGGGGGGGGGGGGTTGGTGTCTGGGGCTGGGCGTGGGGACGAGGCGGGCTGCTGGGGGGCTGTTTGCGGGCACTCGGGGACGGAGCCCTGCTCCTTTTGTTCGTTCTCGCGGGGGGTGTGTGTGTGTGTGGGGAGGGGGGGGGTCGCGTCGCCGCCCGCTTCTTGGGCGTCGCGGGGACAAAGAGAGGGGAGACAATGGGCGGCAGTGGGGGGGCATCCCTAGTCCGTCCCCCCCCCCCCCCCCAAAATCCCGGTGGGGAAGGGGGTGTCTATTGTCCTGGGAGCGGGCGACGCTCTGTGAGGGGCGACGCCCTACCCGCGGCGGCGCCCCCCTCCCCTCCCTGACAGGGACCCCGCCATTGTTAGTGGGGATGGGGCGGCGCCCGCGCGGCCGCGCCCCGGCGCCATCGAGCTCGGGGACCCGCCGCTGAGCCCCGGCTGGCGGCGGTGGGGGAGTGAGGGTCCCCCCGTTTCCTCCACCCCGCTTCTCGCCCGGGGGTAGAGGCGGGTCCCCGCACCTGCGGCGGGAGGGGAGGGGGGGGTGGAGAGGGCGGGGGGCGGCAGGTGCCCGGATGTTACCGTTGGCCCCGCCCCTCCCTCGAGCCCCCCGCGCGCGCCGGCGGGCGGGCGCGCGCGCGCTCGCTCCCCTCCCTCCCCGGCGGTTTGAATTCGGTGCGGTTAGGAAGGCGCGTGCGGGGAGGGGGCGGGGCCTCCGCCCGGCCGGGCGACGGCCTCGGCGCTTATTGGTTGAGGGTGGGAGGGGCGGCACCGCTGGGGGCCGGGTGGGTGCGCGGTCCTAGCGCCGCCCGGCCCCCGCTTCCTCGTCGGCTTAAAAACCAAAAAAAAAAAAAAAAAAATTCTCCTTCTGAGGTTTTTACAACGCTCTATGGCTTTTCTCTTTATTACGTCCCTTTTTAACAAGGGATGCTGGGCGGCGTGCGTGTTCCCTGTCTGTCGTGAGGTGCAGCATCTGGCTTCAGCTGTGCAAATAAAATCGAATTTTAAATGAGCTCGATGTGCACATCTAAGATCCTTTGGTAACAGCAGGAGTCCGGGCTGTACTGCACTGTTGTGTGCCGTATTTTAATTCAGGGAGCTATATCTGCTATGTGCTATATTGGTGAAATATCCATTGCACTGTATGCTGCTAAAGTAATGCTAAAATGGGAGTCTTTCTTTGCATATCTTAATTACTGTGGAGTAAAACAAGGACTGAAAATGCCCGACTGTAGTCATACATGCAGATCCTGCAACATCAATAATAGAGAACCTTTCTGCTGTTCCTAGCAATGTACATCAGCCTCAGCCCTGTAGGCTGACTGGAATTACCGACTGCAGTAACATATCTGACTGTCTTTCATTCAGCAGGTCTAATTATGCTTAGCAAATTTTATTAGGAGTTAGAAGAAATGAAATTCATGTACTTATTGTTCAAAGGCATGTCTCTTTGTTATCTAGGAATCAAAGGGATTTGAAATTCTCCCAGCTTCTGGAAATTCTCCCGGCTTCTAGAGTCGTATTTTCTTGATCATGGCTACTTCTGGTATGTAGTCTTACGTACTAAATGGTCTTGTGTCTTTTCTTTTTCTCCTCATATTTTCCTCAGAAATAATTAAAAAATCGAATATAGTAAAATAAACTGTCATCACCATGCTTTTCTCCCATCCCTAGGCTGCTTTGGAGAAGCTGTTAAAACCGGGTGCTTGTGAAAACATACCGAAAGCCCTCTCAGACTAGGCTGTTAGCAGATGGGCTTCAGCTCATCTGCATGCCATCTGCTCCGTTAACAGAACTGACTATCATCTAGACATCTTGGTGTTCAAAACTGGAGTGCTGGTACAACTGACACCGCGCAGGACTGACGTGCCTGTTCATAGGTGTTTGAAGGGAGAACACTGGCTTACATAATTCTCTGACAACTGGTTTCAGTTCTTATCTCTGCCAGGTCTTAGGCAAACACCTTGAAACTCTTCCTCAGATTTGTTGTTGGAGAAAGGCGGTTTTGTTTTTGTGTGTGTGTTTTTGTGTTTTTTTTTTTTTTTTTTTTTTTTTTTTAAGTACTGATAAACATGTTTTCACGACCTTGAGTATTAAAGGCTAAAATGTCAGGTGTTTGGGTAGTGTAGTATTGAGGAAGAATTGCAAACAAAATTGCCTGCCACATTTTTTTAATGGTGTTGCTGCTGCTTAAAACACAACTATCATCTCAGATGCTCACTCCTTAAGTGAGCTTTGGCATTGAATTTTTGAAGGCTATTGTTCAAGTTACCTAAGCCACTTCCTGGCTTAAGATACTCTTTGGGTTTTCTTCCCCATGTTCCTAGATATTCAAGTGAAGGAACTGGAAAAGCGTGCTTCTGGGCAGGCATTTGAGCTGATACTCAGTCCCCGCTCAAAAGAAGCAGTCCCAGAATTCCCTCTTTCTCCCCCAAAGAAGAAGGATGTGTCATTGGAAGAGATTCAGAAGAAGTTGGAAGCAGCAGAAGAGAGACGCAAGGTAAATTTGAAGCAGCTTAAGTGAGCTCTGCTCAACTAGTCTGTGCAAGTTGTCTTTTTTTTTTTTTTTTAAGTTTACTTCTTGCTTGGGACAAGTGATTAGCAGTTTATATTATGGTAAATGGAATATTTGTTGACCTTTGGAATCTCTGGAGCTCTTAGGAACCTTTCTTACGGTCTGCAAGGCCACGGCTTTGTTCCCAAAGTAATCTTGAATGGGAGAAAATGTTTAGTTGAGAGGGGATGCCCTGTCATGAAGAAGCTGTTTTTCTTGTCTTTGACATCATAAGAGATTCGTCTTCTACTAGAGAATGTAGTGGTGGATCTATAATGAGAAGGTTTGCCAATACAGTGTCTGACTTGATGTAAGATCTTGCTGTTGAGATGTAGCTTGGAGCCCTTGGCTGTGCAGAGGATTACTAACTGAAGTGTAATGTCCTGTGTGACCTGAATCAGTGATTCACCATTCTGAGAAGCAAGAATCCTCCAAGAAAGACCTAGCAATGTACACAAAAAAAACCCCAAACCTCCACATTCTTTTTTTTTTTTTTTTTTTTTTTTTCAGAAAATCCCATTTAACAAGACTTGTGAGTAATGACAGAAAGTTAACTTTTCTGATAGTTTGTAATGGTGAAATAGGGGTTATGTGGGTGGGGGAAGCACCAGGGAGCTCTGTCCTGCATCATGAGGTTACGTTGTTCTCCAGTAAAATGGCAGAAGATCTTTTATCTCTGGAGTTGTGAGCAACTTGACTGTAGCTGTCTCTGTAGTTCATCTGTTTTATGTTCAAAGCCTGCACCCTCTGTTTTGCTAGTCTCATGAAGCAGAAGTCTTGAAGCAGCTAGCTGAGAAGCGGGAGCACGAAAAAGAGGTGCTTCAGAAAGCAATTGAAGAAAACAACAACTTCAGCAAAATGGCAGAGGAGAAGCTGACCCACAAAATGGAAGCTAACAAAGAAAACCGCGAGGCACAAATGGCTGCTAAACTGGAACGCTTGAGGGAGAAGGTGGGTGTAGAGTCCCAGTTCCCCTCGGAGAGAGTTTATCCATGCTTCATTCTGTGAAAACGGGCTAAATAAAGCCAAGTGAATGCCCGAGTGAGGGGGTGCCGTGAATAGACGGACATCCTTGGGAGTTCTGTGGTGGTGTAATCTTGAAAGATGATTAAACCTGCAAAAGACACTGCACACATCCTCCTCCTGGGGGAGAGGGGATGGATGGAGTTAGAGCAGCATCTCGCTTTCTCTTCTAAAGCTTCATCCTGTGGCCCCCTTGCATAACCCACCCTCACAGGCCCCGGCTGGGGGGTAGGAAGCAAGCCAGGGCTTGCCCTGCCTCGCTGTGCCTGGGCAGCTAACTGCTTCCCTGCTGTTGTCTTTCAGGACAAGCATATTGAAGAGGTTCGAAAGAACAAAGAAGGCAAAGACCCTGGTGAGGCCGAAACCGACTGACTTCATTCTGGAAACTGACTGTCTCCCCCTCCTCTAAATATCCAAAGACTGTACTGGCCAGTGGTTTTATCTTTGGTTTTGTTTTTTTTTTTTTAAGTTTCTAGAAACTGATGTAGAACTGTAAAATTAGATCCAAACTGTACACTTTCTTTGGAGGCTAGAGGGGAGACCTTCCATGTTTCACTTTTTCTAAAGTGTTGTCTTTCCAGTGTAGCTATCTTCTTGTTGCATCCTTTTCTACTCCAGTGCGCTTGCTACTGGGTTGATGGCTAGTACTGTATCAGCTCTGTAAGACGTTTGTGAAAGGAATATGTAGTATACTGTTCCATGCTGAATATGTTACACTTCAAAAATCTGACTGTCCCAGTCTGCTGAAATACTGCTGTAACTGAGTGACTAAATAAAGCTGCACAGTGCTGTTATCATGAGAATTACTTCTGAAAAATCATGTAAGAAACAAACCGAGTTGGCTGAGGTCTGCAGCAGGCATCCTTGCCCCGTGCTGGGTGGAAAGGTCTGCAGCAGCACTTCCCTTTGCACCCAGGGGCATGCTGCACCACTGCCTTTCCCCTAGAGCACACTCATTGTCTTAATTTTACAATTAGAGCTTTGTTTTGACACCTCAGCAGTTGTCAGCTGTTGTGTGTGTTTGTTAAAAAGAGTTCAGAACCACCTCCCTGTGGATGCTGACACTTGAACAAACAAGTCCTTGTTACCACATGACTGATCTGAGCCTTTTTTTGGTAAAGGGTTTCTAGAAGATGACTCGTGCTATTGAATGGTGACTTGTGTACGGCTTCCTGCGGTGGCAGAGCGTAACAGTCAGAAACCTGTTCGGTGCTGGGATGAGGAGCCTGCCCAAACTGAAAAAGCTGTTGTGGTGAAGAATTATTTTTGTTTTGGTGTCTGCCAGGGATGTGTTGGGGTAGTGTACTGTGCCCCAGGGCGCATGGAAAGATTAACTCCTGCCCACAACCAGATGTCTATCTTTGTTTTTTTCTGGGGCGTGAGAAATAGATATGACTGTACTTGTGCTCTGAGGAGATGCTTTTTAGGCAGATTGGGTACAGAGTTGGTGTATTGTACAGGTGCCTTTTAAAAAAGAACAAACCCAAACTTTTCCTCTAAGGGCATCCACAGGTACTCGTGCTACTCTGCAGTAAGACAAGGCTGCAGTGTGGGTGTGTGAGCAGCCACAGAACTTCAGTAGCAACACCATGTTCTGAGCTACTTGGCTGGAATAAGCATGTCCCTGCAGTGTGGGGAAGCCGGGGCTTTCACAGCCTCTGTTGGTGTCAAACACTGGTCTTGGTGAGGCACACTCAGTCACGTCTTCCTCCTTGTGGGTCCTTGATCTTGAGGCTTGGCTGCCAGGTTTGTTTTCAGGTTAACTTCACAGCTGGAGCATCTGTCACTGCCCAAGGGATAGATTTGTGTGTTCTGAGGATGGGAAAGCTGGTAGGGAATTTTTTCTAAGGGACTGACAGTCCTGGACCACTTGACCTGTCTTCTGGGGCTTGCTAAGGAAGGAGCCTCAGTTTAGAAAGCTTTCACGTATCACGCTTAACCGCTTTTGATTGCATCAGAGTTGTACTTAACCAAAAGCTGATATTGCACTGTTGGAATAAAAGAAGAGCAGTGACAAAGCCAGGCTTGGTGCACTGGACGGCTGGAATCGGATCCTTTCCCTGAAGGACTTTCAGAAGTGTTTTGATACTTAATAATTTAAGGTAAGAGGGGCTGTACCTGCTGGGAACCAGCAACCCCCCTGCAGTGGGGGCATGCTGCAGGTTTGGGGTTTTATTGGCACGTATCAACCTTGTGTAAGCCAAGAGCAGAGGGATGTGGGTCAGGATCCACCCGGGGAGGTGGGGAGGAATGGGGAACACTGAGCTGAGCTTTGAGACAAAGGCTCGAGCCCAATACATGATGTGCACTGAGTGTCTCTAGGACCATGTAATGGAGGTTTAAGTGATCACTAGATCAGTTCCCGTATACAAGATCTGACATAATTATCAATCAAAAAAAAAATCAGTTCTTTAATGTATTTACCTGCTGAGGAAAGACCAAGTGTCCCAAATACTGGGCGGGGGTGTTTCCCCATCCTCTCAAGGGATGGGGAAGGAGGGTGACAGCACTGCCAAACCCCAAACGGTGTTAAGAGCACAGAGAGACGTTAAATGTGAGGTTTGACTTGCCAAAGCTGCCAGATCTCAGCTCGGGGCCTTCTGTTCCCTTGTCTTGGTTCTGCTCTGCGCCTGCCTGTGTTACGCTTAACTGGAGCTTAATGCCCAGGGCCTGAGCTTAATCTCGTTCCTCTGAGAGCTGCTGGGGGGGAATGGAAGTTTTAAGGGGTGGAATAAGACTGGGGGGTGCAAATAGGAAGAGGATGGTAATAATTTGAGAATGGAGTAAGGAGAGGGAGGGAACTAGCATGGAAGAGATGGTGCTCTGGCGGAGAAACAAATGGTTTCTGTTAGGGAAATCTGGATGATAAACAAGTTGCTTTTTTGAAAAAAAAAAAAAAAAAAAAAAAAAAAAGACAAAAGCTGTGGAGCTGCATTTCCTGGGTTAGACAGCCCACCACGCTGTACGAGGTGCAAACGCAGCCGCAAGCGGTGAGGGAAGGGGGAGAAGTGACAATTCCAGCCCGCCCGTGGGTAGCCGGGGGCTGCGCTCGGAGGGGGGGGGGCCCACAAAAGCGCCGCTTTACTCGCCCTCCCACCCGTGACAGGTACATGGCCGAGGAGGGGAGCTGGGGGGGGGGGGGCAGCGGCCTTGGGCCACGCCCCGGAGCTGGGGAGCCTGGTGGTGAGCGGGCAGGGGGGGCTCAGGGGGCAGGGGGTGACCGTTGGGGTGGTGGTTGAGGGGGGGGCTTAGGGGGGGACTGGGGGATGGAGGGGCAGCAGGTCTTGCTGGGGTACCAGGGAGACCCCCACCCGCTCTGACCTCCAGCTGCACCCATGTCCTGAAGCATCCCCCTCCCTCTGGAAAGAAAAAAAAAAAAAAAAAACAAAACGTTCCCAGGAGGGGGGGATCGATCCCTGGCTGCCCCCGAAGGGGTTTTGGCAGGGGAGGAGGAGGAGGGAGAGGCTTCCCTGGGGGCTGGAGCGCAGCCACCAAAACACGCTGGGTTCCGGTTTACTGGGGGCTGGGTGAGCCTGTGCTGAGGGAAAGCGATCGTAACTTAAACGGAACATTTGTGCTTCAGAATGCTAAATGCAGGTGTATGTACAGGAGCAGTCGGGCATGTGAACAGCTGGGGGCTGAGTCTGTATCATTCAGAAAGAATTCAGCAGGACGGGTGGACGCTGCTGGCGAAAGGAAGTGCTCCGTAGGATATACCAGGCGTTTGAGGCAACGTTATTGCCATCTCATAGGTATGTGGAGGGAATTATTCAGAGGACAAACCAGATCCAGCGCTGCGCAGGATGGGCTCCGTCCGTAACTGAGCGTCGCTCAAGGCTTGGTAGCTAGGAAGAGCTTTGCGAATTAAGTCCTGCTCCAACAGGTTTTGGAGGAGCCGAGGTGAACACCACCCCCTTTCCTGCCTCGTGCTCGGCTGCTCTGAACGCAGCTTTTCCCGCTGCTTTTGCCACAGCGTCTCCCTGAGCAGAACCAGGGGGGCCCTTCCTGTAGGATTTTGTCTTCTGGCAGCTGTGACGGGGTCAGACACGGTGGGGAGCTGAGCCCCCGCCCCACGTACCCGGCATCCTCGTGGATAAGCTCTGGCACAGAGGCAAGTAACACTTTTCTTCCAAACTACTTGTTGAATTTTGGTCAAAATAGCTTAATCCGGGAGGTTCTGCTTTTGCCCACATCCCCCTGGCAGGACTCGAGGCTGTTTCAGTTCAGCGCAGTAGCTGCAAGTCCGGAAGAGGTTTGTGAAGTTAATTTTTCACTGGCAGCCTGCGCGTGTTTCAGTGTTAGAGGAGGGTTTAGGAGGCCAGGCGAGGGTCAGGAGTGCCCTCTGCCAGGTGCTGCTCCGAGCCAGGCCGCTCGTTTTTGACGTAGAGCCGCTTTAACCAGGCGAGGTGGGAAAAAAACATTTGAGAGGGAGGCTGAGCACCAGACAGACTGTTTTTATCAGCATCTGTGCTTCTCAGCTTCAGGAAGGCGTGAGTTACAGAGACCTATCTACTCCATTTTGATGAGGAAATTACAAAGATTTTAAAAATAAACAGTCCCATCCCCTCCTCCCCCTGTTCCTAAACTTTGAAGAGCTTTTCCTGTCTGAGCTGTCCCTGAAGCGACTGCACTTGCCAGGAGTTGAGGCGTAAATCGGCACTGGAGCTGGATGGGAATTGGGCTGATTTATTCAGAACTTGTCTGAGCAAGAGCAGGTAAAGGGGGTGTGTGTGTGTGTGTGTGTTGTGGAATCTCATTTCGAGCACATTCTGTTCAATATGTTTTTAAGGCTGCTGTGAAAAGGCAGAACAAGCCAGCAAGGCTGCCTTTATCTTGGTAAGGACAGCAGCTTCAAAAATGTAAATATGGAAATGCTTGCTCGCAAAGATTACGCTGCTGGACCGCAGTTGCATCAACAGTGTGAACTCACTCGAGCTGCGTTTTGTGCAAAGCTGCATGGAAAATCGGGAGCTGAAAAAAGATGGTAAAAACTTTAAACACAGAAGTTACCTCTTCTGTTGCTGGTGTTATGGTGATTTATGTTCTGAGATGTGCCCCGCGTGAGGCAGAGCAGGCCGTCCCGCTGCCTGTGCGACTGCAGCTCAGTGTTATTTTTAAAGACAGATGCTGCAAACAGTTTACAAGGGGGAAACTCTGGGCTTCTCCTGGAGTGGGAAGTTTGGGGTGTTTAGTTGGTTTTGCAGTTTCCAAACTGCTGGGAAGGGTGAACTAGGAGCTGATGTGTCCTGGTGTGTTCATTATTGTGTCAACTAACCCCGCACTCATGTTCTCTACCTCTGTATTCCTCCAGACAGCCTGTGCAGCATGGGGCACTCCAGGGGTTCATAAATCTCCCTTTAGCCTCCTTCCTATGACTGGTTTTGTGATAATTTTTTATTTCAGCTATAATGAGGCCAATCTCCAGTCATGTGTGATTTTTACATATCTTTGGAAAAAAACCCAGACAAAGCATTCAATTGGTCTCTGCCTGGTTGTTTGTTTTTTGTTTTTTTTTTTTTTTTTCCTCCTTTGTTTTTTTTTTTTGTTTGTTTTTTTTGGTGTTTGTTTGTTTGTTTGTTTTTTAATTTTTTTTTTTGGGGGGGGGGGGCTAAAGTCACTATTAAACCCTGCAGCAAAACTTTCTTTCCATCCCAAAGGTTGTTCCGCACGGCGGAGACCCAGAGAGTTCGGCTGCATCATGGCAACAGCCATCACCGAAAGGCTCAGCCGCCTCTTCATCAACGTGCGGCAGGTCCCTCCGCTGCTGGCCCCCATCTCTCCCTCCACCGTCAGCAGTTCCGAGGTGCCGAAGGTCTTCTGGAAGCCCTACATCCACACCGGCTACCGGCCCGTGCAGCAGACCTGGCGCTATTACTTCTCCACCCTCTTCCAGCAGCACAACGAGGCCATCAACGTCTGGACCCATCTGGTGGCAGCGCTGATCCTGCTGCTGCGCTTCCAGCAGCTCTCGCAGCGGGTGGATTTTGGGCAGGACCTACACGCCCAACCCCTCCTCATCATCATCGCGGCGTCCATCACCTACCTGACGTTCAGCACCCTCGCTCACCTGCTGCAGGCTAAATCTGAGTTCTGGCACTACAGCTTCTTCTTCATGGACTACGTGGGGGTCGCCGTTTACCAGTACGGCAGCGCTCTGGGCCACTACTACTACGCCATCGAGCCGAGCTGGCACGAGAAGATCAAGGGGTTTTACATGCCGGCGGCCGTCCTGTTGGCGTGGCTGTCCTGCGCTGGTTCCTGCTACGCCAAGTACCAGTACCACCAGTCTGCTTATCTTCTGAGCCGGCTCTGCCAGGAGCTGCCCTCCGGCCTGGCGTACGTGCTGGACATCAGCCCCGTGGTGCACCGCATCTACACCGCGCCGCCCTCCGAGCGGGCTGACCCGGCCCTTCTGTACCATAAATGCCAGGTGCTGTTTTTCCTCATCGGCGCCTTTTTTTTCTCACACCCTTACCCCGAGAAGTGGTTCCCTGGGAAATGTTACTTTTTCGGGCAGAGCCACCAGATTTTTCACGTCTGCCTGGTGCTCTGCACGCTGGCGCAGATCGAGGCGGTGGTGTTGGACTACGAGTCCAGGCGACAGATCTATTCCACTCTTCAGGGTGATTTGGCGCACAACTTCTCTGCCCTGTGCCTCTTCACTGTCACCTGCTCCGTCCTCACGGCTGTTTACATGGCCCGGAAGGTGAAGAACAAACTGAGCTTCAAAGAAGAGTAAGTGCCTTGAAGGAGAAGCAGGCGAGCTCGCCCGAGGGGTTTATCTGCAGCCGGCTGTGCTGATGCTGCCGTGAACCTGGCCACAAACCTCAAGGAGAAGAATGAAACGCTTTGCAGACTGTTAATTTGGCAGTGCTCTCTGTAGGGAGGGGAAAGTAAGAGCTGCTTTCTGTGCTTTTTAAATTCAGAATTAGTTCCAGCTTGCTCTTGAAATGGTACACTGGTTTAATTCATGTGTCTGAATAAACGGTTGGAACACAATGTCATTAGTGCTGCAGCCCTGTACCCGAACACGGGCTGTGAAAGGTCGCTGGAAGCTACCGGGTCTTGCAGCAAAAGGTAAGGAGGTGGATGCCATCAGGCCCCCCCGTTAGAAACAGAAACAGGCCGAGGCGAGCTTGTATAAACCACAAACAAGGGTAGAAAATCCATTTAATATCATTTCAGGCCCTTTTTGTCTGGCTTAGGGGGTTGTACAGAGCTACCCCTGCACTGCCAGGGCCCGGTCCCTTTCCCGGGGGGTGCAGTAAAACAGCAGCGAGAGGCAGAGCGGGGCTGGGGGTGGGCTGAGCCCCGGGGCAGGGCCGGGGGCCTCCGCACCTTCGGTGGGATGAGGCCCCGGAGCCCTGGCTGCGCTGGTCTGGAGGGCACGACCCCGAACAGGGGGTGCAAAAACAGAGCGGGGAGGGAACGGCTTGGGGGGGGGGGGGGGGGAACCCCGCTGGCGTGTGCTGCCCCCCCCGCCCCGCTGCCATCTCTGCGGGCCCCCGGCACGGGTGGGCGGAGCTCCGCCTGCCGCTCATCCCGCCCCGCTCTCGGATTGGTCCGCTGCCTGCGGCGGGCGGGAAGCGGGAGCGCGACCGGCACCGGCGGCTGAGGGAGCGGCCGGGCCCGGGGCCCCCGCGGGCCGCGCTGCCTCATCCCCGGCCCCGCCGAGCCCCGGGGGGCCGCGCCGAGCCCCGGGGGGCCCCGCTGAGCTCCGGGGGGCCCCGCCGAGCCCCGGGGGGCCCCGCTGAGCCCCGCCGGGTGCCGGGGATGAAGCGCAGGCGCGGCGCGGCCCAGCCGGCCGAAGCGTGCGGTGTCTGGCTGGACACGGCCGAGAGGAAGAGGAGCGCGGCTCAGGTGGGGCGGGGGGGTGGGGGGCGCGGAGCGGTCCTGGGGGTTCCCCGTCCCGCGGGAGCCGCCGTGGTGGTGCGAGGCAGGAGAGGCCGGCAGAGCCGTGGGGGGTTTGGGGAGGTGTGAGGGGCGTCCCCGTCCAACCTCAGCCAGCCCGGGGCCGGGTGGCAGCAGGAGCTGGAGCGTTTAACCAGGGTGGGAGCTCCGCCACGGCGCTGGGGGAAGGGTAGAATTAGTTCTAAGGGCATCTATTCACTTTCCGCTCGTTTCTTTCCCTGCCCAGTCTCTCACAGCCAAGGTGAAAGTATCCACTCGAGTTCTGGAAAGCAAGCACTCCACGCAGATGGGAGCCTCCCAGCCACGCACCAAACAAACCACCATCTCCACCTTCTTCAGCTCGCAGACAGGTAACGCCGGCCAGCGGATGCCCTCGGAGGAAGAGAGTTTCGGGCTGTAATAGGGAAACCCACTGCTTTACTGCTCAGCAGCTTTACTAGGCTGAAAACTGCATTTTCTAGTGAAGAGGGTAAAGGTTAAAGGTTTGAACTCCTGGAAGGGAATTTATTGTGATGGTTAATGTAAATGGAGGCAGCTTTTACAGTGTTAGACGAAAGCGTGGCAGCAGTCACGGCCAGTCTTTGCTGGAGGGCAACCTGAACTCGAAATAACGCCCCGGGCTTTCCTCCCGACAAAGCTGGGGGTTTTGGTGGAGCGCTGGGAAGCCTGGCTCAGCCCAAGCACGGACACAAACCGGCCAGTTCTGGGTCATCCCATGGTATCGCATAAAGGACGATCCAGTGGGAACCTGCGGCTGGGGCAGCGTCCAGGGCCGGGTTCGTTCTGAACGACAGCAGCCTGAAATTGTCAGTTCAGTGCCCTTGGAAGCACGTTCTAGCTGGAAGTGAAAATTAACATTACTCGGTTCAAACAGTCTCACCGTAAGGGGAATCAGCGGGAGGTGAACGAGGAAAGGTTTTTATGAAGGGTTGGACAAAGCCTTTTCTAAAGAATGTGATGGTTAATCCTAACTGAACCAATGGAGGAATCACAAAAGAACTGGAAAATTTAAGTTAATTGAGCCAACTCACAACCTCTGTGCTTTTGAGGCTGCTTTTGTGCTCTGGAATACAAGAGACTGGGATTTGTCCATGGGTCTCAAACAAACAAATGTGGAGAGAAATTAAATGGGTGCAGAAACCAGCAGTGTAGGGTTGTGTGGTGGTTTGTATCCTGTGAGCTGTGTAATGGCTGGTTCATCAACATTAAACTGGTGTAGCAATAAGCAGATGAGAGGAAACATTACACAAATTGTACGGTCTAATTATCTAACAGAATTTTTGTGTTGTGACAGGGCATTGATGGATTTTGCTTTAGATTTGATATTCCTACTCCTTTTGAATGTGTTGTAAGCTTTCTTCTATTTTTTTTTTGTTCCCTCAATTGCATTCACTTAATCACCATGTGTATTTGGCTTCACTGAATGCTGCTGCTGCTCATCCAGAGGTCTGTAGGATTTAAGATGCTGGAGTATTTCTTACTTTTTTTTTTTTTTTTTTCTTTTAGCTTATCCTGAATTGAGGGTGAGCTCGCTTATATTGAGAAGTTATATTAGATTTTATATCAGATGGTTTTAGAAGCAAATGTGGGACTTGATGCCTTCATCAGGTGATGGACGCACGCGGTAGAAGTTTCACTGTTGAGTTTTTGGTAACTCTTGAGCTGCTGCTTTGAAAGGGAAGGTCAGGGGTGAGCTGCCTGGAGAGCTGAGGGGGGGAAGGCAGAGAAGCCGGAGGCTGGAGGGGCTGGAGCTGCAGCTCTCGCCTCTCACTCCAGGGAAGCTGAACTTTCTTGCACTACCCCAACGTTCTGGGCTGCCCGTCCGCCGCTGCAGCACAGACACAGGGTTGTGAGGCGGTGGCAGTGCCGGCCTGGTGTACAACAGCCCGTGTGGCACCACTCCAAGGGGTAGAGCGGCTGTTCTGAGTCAAGGGCCAAGGAGTGTGCTGTGGGTGGTGACTAACCCTGAGAAATGTGTGTGCCAGCTCTGGCTTTAACCGATTCTGTGGTGTTTTCAGATGAAAAAGACAAAGAAAACTTCAGGCCATCTCCTTTCATCCCGAATAAAGGCTGTAAAGGAAAAGGTGTTTCTTCGGCTGCTTTCCCTGTGAAGATCTTGGCTTTGCCGCAGATGGAGGAAGCCTGGAAAGAATCCTTCAGGGTCGGGGCGTTGGTGCAGGTTACACCCCGGCGTCGGGCGCGGGAAGCACCGGCCTCGCCGACTCCTTTGCCAGACTCCCGGTCGTTACAAGCGGCGTCCCACGGCCAGAGCGAAGCCTCGGGAGGGGCAGGGGAGGATTGGTGCTGCTTCAGCTTCACCCAGGATTCAGAGGGCAGCCGGGACATCACTCACAGAACTGAGCCTGATTTTTTGGCTGGAGAAACCGTTTCAGCAAGTGGCAGCGTAAGGTCGGCCTGCGGGGTAAGCGAGCAAGAGGGGCCGCTGCGCCCGGAGACCCGGCTTCGCCTCCAGCCGGGACTCGGGGCAAACCAGCGTGAGAAACCACGGCGCTCGGGTCGCGTTAATTCCTTAATTGATTTCTCTGAGACTGAGAATATAAATCCTACACTAACGAGGGCCAGTCCCTGGGCTGCTGGGTTGTGTTCATCTCCAGAACGAGCAGCCGGAGCGCAGCCGCCGAGCTCGGCCGAGGGAGGGGACGGCCAGGGGGGCGCCAGCAGCCCCTGCAGGCAGCTCTTCACCCAGGATTCGGAGGGGAACAGGGTCATCGCCCACCGCTGCTGCAACGCCCCAACTGCTCGCGGGGCCGGGGGCTGCTCGGGCCGGCGGCTGCTCAGCTCCCCCTGCACCGGCTGTGCCCGCGCTGCTGCGAGGAGCTGGAGCGAAGCGGGGCAGCAGCGCTTAGACAAGTGCTACGAGTCACTGTTCACGCAGGACTCGGAGGGGAACAGGGTGATTAAACACTGAGCAGCGACCGTCAGTGGGGTCGCCTGCACGACCTCTTGTGAAGCCTCAGGAAAGCATTTTTTTTTTTTTCATTTTTTGGTAAGAAAGCAAGCAATCGGAATTAGGTAAGTGTACCCATTGTTTCTGTACGTATGGTCTCACCAGCAGCTGCATTTGACCCATGCAATAGGCAGCACTGCTTTGTTCGCTGGAATTTTGCTTTAATAAAAATAACATTTTAAAGGAATATGTTTATAATGGTTTGACTGTTTCAATCACGATTGGCTTTTTAAACACTGTAGCCTGATATTGCTGTAACGTGCTGCCAGCCAGCCTGAAAGAGCTCACGGCTAACACCTCTGTGTTTCTTAGGGTCCTGGAAGTCCAAACTTAAAAGGTTTTTTTAGGCTCAGCCCGGGGACAACGGTGTCTATTTCACGTGAGCTGCCCTGAGGAAGGGCTTATTTCAGGGCTGTGGTTGTAGCAGCCCCTGGACGGGGCAAGATCGGGGGGTTTGGGCGTCTGGAAGGGGCCCACCACAGCCCTTAACTGCTGTTGCCAGGCAGATTTACCCGAGGATTAAAGTGAGGAAGACTCTGCCAAAAAGGAGGAATTCTGGCAGCGCTGCTGTTCTGGGTAGGTGTGGGCTGTAATCCCAGCGGGGGGGGGCGGCGCAGGGAGGGCTCTGGGCCGGCTGGGAGCTGGTTCAGCTGCCAGGGTTCCTGCGGCCAGTTCAGCACAGCCCCCCCCCCCCCCCCCCCCCCCCCCCCGTCGGGGTGCGCAGCGTTCTGGGGGTGCTGCTTGCCTGGCTCAGGGTGTGGAGTGTGGGGACCAGCTGCTCAACGCCCCCCCCCGGGGTCACCAGCAGCCGCCAGACCCATCTGTGACCCTGATCCTGCTCCAGACCAACAGCCGGCTGCCTCAGCAGCAACTGCTCAGTTTATTACTACTTTTTGTTTTGTTTTGTTTTGTTTAAATGCTGACTATGTCTTTAACATTGCAGATGTTGCCGTTTAAGACAGCGTTACTGGCCCCTTGGGCCAGAATTTCAGTACAATAGATTCAATGGGAGTTACATCACAGTCCACAAGTTAATTGCTCTGATTGTTCCCAGGAAGGGGCCTGGGTTCCAGCTCCCTCCCCTCCAGGACAGGTGTATCCCCACCACAGCCTTACCCGGAGGAGCCTCAGTGGGACAGGGAGAGAGGGATCACATCATCCAGTGGCTCCTGGTGTGCAGCTGGGAGGGGAAGAGCTGTATCAGCTCCCTAGAAAAACGAAGTTGTATTTCTGCTCTCCCTCAGTGGGTGGCCAGAGGCAATCCAGGGCTCCTCTCTCACTCTGAAGGTGGGGATGATGGTTTAATTTTTCAAGGGCTGAGGGATTCAGAAAATCCTTGGCATCACTGCAGCTGCAGCAGCTGAAATTCCACCCCCCATAAGCTCCCCACCATCCAAGCACCACTGCTGCCATCTTTGGACATCTGCACATCAATAATATCAAGGACAACCATTGTCTTATTAAGGCTCCATTTTATATAAAGGAAAAAATCATACTTTAAATACAGCCATGAGGAACATTGCAGAAAATGTGTAGCTGAAGGAAACCTTCAGTTAGTGAGAACTGTAGCCACAGCCAATGCCAAGTTCCTTCTTCCCTTTTCTCAGATGACAGAGCTCGTGGTGGGTGCTCAGTTCTTAGCACTGGTGGTTCAATAAATAGACTTTCTGAACGCTAAATAAAATACATTACCTGAATACAATGACTATTAATGAAACATTAAATTACTGGCAAGAAATTAAGGCCATTCTGTCATGCAACTGTGGGGATCCCTTCGGTGCGACTGAGCGGTTTGATCACTGACTGCAGGTTCATTGTACCGCCGGGCCAGAGGTACCATTTCACTTTCACCGCTGTGATTCAACCACCTCCTGCACCCTGAAGCCCGGGAGCATTAATGAGCTTTTTCTCAGTAGCTCTGTACCCTACTCAGAGAAAGAACAGGATGTCTGCCACCCCTTTATACTGGGAATGGTAACTAGCTGTATTGTAACAAGGGCGTTATAAGTTAATGCTTAATTGGAACCTAAGGAAAATTGTAGGTAGAAAGAACGTCCTCCAGCAGCACTCATTGCACTCTTCAGAAGATCCTTATCAATAATCAACATCAAAACACAGGTGGAAAAGAATTTCCATCATCTTAAAATTTTTTTTCTTAAATATAACAATACATGGAAAACGCATCAAATCCATAGGGTCTTTCCTAAGTAAATGTCCAGTGCAGAAACCATTTCTAATTAATAAAAGAGGCAAAAGGCTCAATCCTTAGGAAGGCAGCTACTGTGGAGAAAATTCTGGGAGCGTAACACTTTTGCTTACAGAGTTTTGTGACAGTAACATCATTTATCCTTCAGGGCCAGATCTTCATCTTTTAGGGCAAATTTTCTTCTCAGAACTTCTGCTATAAGAACAGCTGGGTCTTCCTCCTTCATTGACGTTCGGTTTCTACATGGAAGACAAAAGCATGGTGTATTAATAAAGAGAAGTGCCAAAATTCATGGTTTACAGCTCTGGTGAGAGTCTATGAAGTATTTTTCTGTAGCCTTTATCATCAACTTCTGTTGCAAGTGGAGTTGGTGCAAGAACAACAAAACAAAACAACAAAAAGCAGCTAAAAATGCAGCTTTCATGTTGACTTAGAAAACCTGGAGCTCATTTTGTGGATCAAGGGGTATCCTGAAAATCTCAGCTCAAAGCTCTTTATAATTATTATTCAACTGTCTTAATAGCAAGTAAGTAAAATGAAACTTCATTAATTATTACAGTCTATGTCCCCTCAATATAAATCTACAAGTGCTGTGGTGTTTGGGTTGAAGTTCTGGGGGTATTTCTTTCATTAATTGTGCTATGCAATGGATGTATGCTTTCGTAGTCAAATACAGGTAACTGCAGGTATTGTAAAGGGGGACTGGTGTACCTTTCCCTCCGCCTAGCTGCTGCACATGAGCTTTGCTGTAGCATTCTGTTACCAAAGCACCCTGCCTCCTTCAGCAAGTTCAGACAAGCAGTTCACGTGAGAAGTGTCAGTGATTTTACAGGAAGGCAAAACCTGGTTCTTTTTCCTCAGGTATCATGAATTGCTCACTAAGGTTTTATTTAGAACCTGTAATAATAATTTTAGAGCTTAACTTTTTCTTTTTTTCAATAGCTGAAGACCTTCCTTGGTCAGAAGACACTATGGATGTTTTAAACATTCCTAAAAGAAAAGATCCCCCCTGGAGTGTGTTTGGGAGGGGCTTGTTCTCAAATTAACACTGAGGGGTTTTGGAGGGCTGTGGAAGATGCCACTGAGCTGCTCCTGGGTCACCCTTAGCGCTACGGCAGATTCCTGTCTGATGCAAGTTCTTAATTTACAGCTGTATAAATGCATCATTATTTAAAAGATGGTTCTGCAGACAGAAGCACGCCTTGGATTTCATCCAGACAGAGCCATTCCTTCTGAAAAGGGTGCAGGGACTGAGCAGCGCCGAGGGGCTGGAGCCCAACCCCGACCCCTCCTTCCCCAGGGGTGAAGCTGGTAACTCCGAGTTACCCGAATACCCATCAGCTGCCTCCGAAGAGGAGCCACAGCAGCCAGGGGAGGCGGCGACACAGCCCCGACCTGCGCCCACCACAAGGAAAATCTCTCTCCCAGGACGAGCGAAGAGACAGCTAACCCACACCGGGGCGAGAGGAGGAACCTCTCCTGCCCGAGGCACGGCCAGCAGCAGAGCGGGGAGCACCAGCGCTCACCTTCAGCAACTCGGCCCCTCGCAGGGCCGAGGAGATAATCACGGGAAAGTGAAGTTGTTCAGTGCCACAAGAGTAGTACTTACAAAGCAGAAGTGTACTCACAGTCCAAGCAGCTCCTCACGCTACCTGTCTTTAACCCCCGGCTGAGCGCAGGGCCCAGCGGGCACACCGCCCAGCCACGGCCCGGCCAGCGGCCTCCCAGACACTTTATCAGGCTCTAGTTCACTTTTGTTGAAACATGCACATTCCTGCAAGCGTTTCGCACTCACTCCTGAAGCTTCCAAGGCTGCGTTTAAGCACCAAGTCCTAAACAGGAGCATCAGAGAAGCATCTATGTGGTTAGCTCGTTAAGCATCGTTTGGTACCTTCCTCCACTCAGAGCACACGATCCTTCCGAGTGTTACAGCTGTGCACACCCACCCCAGCGCGAGGGCTCAGTGTAACCTAACGCACAGCCACGGGTGAGTACAGGGGTAGGAGCACGGGGCTGCTCACACAGCGGCACCGACACCGGAGGGTTGTACCGAGGAACTAAAGCTCATCGAGTAACGAACATCAGAGGTTTATTGAACGTAACTTTTCAACTCCCTGTGATCCTCCAAACAGCTTTAATGAAGCTGGAACAACTGCACCCTAAAACGTCACTGTTGCACGGAGGAGGCAAGTTAGAGGCTGAGACAGAGAAAAGGATGAGATGGAAACAGTTCAGCTCCAGCAAGAAACAGCCTCAAGCTTTTCCATTAAAGCGTTCCGAGCCTTGAGGCAAGCAGCAGCAGCAGAAGGGGCAAGTGTGACCCAGCTCCCGGCTACCGAGTCAAGCTGTGGCAAGGGGAGAAAGGAGCCCGGGTGATTCCGTTCCCTTACCCACGGTACCCCAGCGAGGAGGGATGTGGCAGCTATTTCCCCCCCTCTCCCCTCCCCCAAGTATTCTACAGTACAAAATCCTTGCTCGCCCCCATCTCCTGTAACGTTAAACGCATCGGTGCTGTCTGTAAATCCTTTCTTTCTGCACAAGCCATCTCTCCCTCCCACTCATTCACGCGGCTTCTCTCCCAGAATAACAGCAGGATCAAACACCTTCATCCATTATTAGTTCTTCTGCCGAGGAAATTCAAGTCCATTGGTGAGCCCTGATCCCGCAGCGCTCGCCGCCACGGACGCTGCAGTTCAGCCTCCCCCCGGCAGCACCGGGCTCCTCGTGACCCGGCCCGGCAGCAGAAATATCCAGGCACGGGGAAGAAACGCTTCGGATTTCCCTACCATAATCTCTATTTGTACAGGATTTTCTTCCCCCGAATAACGCACGTTTCCCTATCTTCATCTGGCACAGATGGCAGCAGCTTTCTTAGCCTGAAAAAGTCTTCTTCCATAAGGCTGACATACCAGTCTGCACTAATTAGAAGACCGATAATTACATTGTTACATGTGAATGCTTAGAGGTACACGTGTTTCTGATAAAGTTAAAACTTTACATGTCACAACATGAAGCATCTGCAAGCTTTTCTAGATTTAAGAGAGCCAGTGAAGGACCATCAGAGTGGCACAGTTACATCTTAACAGGTAAGTTACCTAAAGCTGAACCCAAACCCCTGTTGAGCCAAGGAGACTGTCGCAGGCAACAGGAAGATTTTTCTTGAGAATTCTCTTTCCCTTCGCCTAATACTTCAAAATTATTTCTGGATGCCCAAAGCACTGCTTTGCAACAGACAGGAAGAAAGAAGAGGAGCAGTTTGTGGTCCATGAATCCAACTCCCCCCCAAGAAAGATTACAGGCATTTACATAAAGCTAGTGTTTAAGCTTTGAGTAATATTTAACACTTAGGAAAACAAGAGCAAGAGGGTATGCTGTGTGACTTACGGATGTGTAATACCATACTGACATTCTGGATGCAAGCTGAACACATTTCTCTCATCTGACTATATAATTTTTTCAATGCTGAGAATTTAATTTCTTTTAAACTGAAATTGTGAACAGCCATCACACAGTGTGTGATTTTTGGCCAGGAATTTTACTCACACAACATAATGGCTGGACAGATCTTTGGGATGAAAAATGTGGAAATTGAACTTTATCACTGTGCCTTCACATATAAATCAGAGGCAGTACAGCTAACGCTAAAGCAGCTACTTTATCAGCCGGGCAGGATCCCGTCTCAGCCGTGCAGCAGCTGGCAGGTCAGCAGCTCGAGGCGTCCTCATGATCAATGTGTAAACTCGTCATGAGACAAGTGAAAACTCACTCTGCCCACGCTCAGAGCTGGGCCAGATGCAAAAGCTGAGAAGCCGAGAAGCTCCGCGTGTTCATTCCTGCACGTGCCGCGCCGAAAAAGCTGCTGAGCTGCCCAACCGCTCGGGTCTGCAAGATGGTGTAAGCCCCAGCACCTGGAACCGCCGCAAGCAGAGCGACCAGCGCAGCCCTTGCTCGAAGGCTGCTGATACACACAGTCCTGGTTTTCATCAGGGCAAACACAAGGGGTTTTTTTCAGGTGAACAAGCTGAAACAGGCAAACACTGCGCTAATCGGTTTAAGTTCCTCTCCACTGCTTTCTATCCAGGCAGGGAAGCCATCAATAAACCCCTCCCGAAACGTTAACTGTTAGCAAGTTCTACTATAAACAGGTATCTCCCCCCTGTGTCTCATGAATATAGAGCAGCACCAACAAGCACTGAATGCAACGTCCAGTGTCCACAATGATTTGACAGACCGAAAAAAAAAAAAGAGATAAAATAAAATCAAGAGAGCTCAGGAAGCACTTACAAGTCTTTGCTCTGCTTCATCCTATGAATGTCTTTAAGAATGCCCATCATGTCCGCAAAACTGCTGGCCTTTGAGAGAGACACAGAATCTTCCTCATCAGGATCCTTTGGTTCTGGTTTACAATACTCGGAGGTTGCAGAACAAAGCAGGGAGACTGACGGGAGCTCGGGGCTTTCGAGTTCTGCCTCCTCCTCTGTGATATCACTAATGACAAAGGAAGTTGTAGATTGGAAAGAGGGTCCAAAACAAGGTAAAGGAGAAGATGCATTTGAACTTCCTGGAGATAATAAATCTGGTGTTAATGAAGAAGCTGAAAAAGAAAAAAATATAGGTGGATAGATAAACTCACACCAAACCATGTAGGTATTTTTTTTTTTTCCCCAAAACCAACAGCATGTAAATCAAGAGGCATCATCAGCCAGCCTCTCTCATGCTAGGAGAAAACAAATTAATCATCTTCTCTGTTACCCTCCATGTCCACTCTGCTTCCTACGACACCATGGTGCAACACAAGACCTTCTCCAGCACCCTTTATCCCATCCTTACGTACCTTTAGTCCAATCATGCCCATCACTGTATCACCCCTCCAGTTCAAACACTGCACCTCCCCATCCCTGCAGACGTCAGGTACTGGTTACTTTTTCTGTTTTTACAGATAATAAATGGAGGAACAGAGATTCAGCTGCTGCTCAGGGTCACAGAGCCTGTGTCAGAATGTAGGTCTTAATTTTTCTCCTCTTTTTCTTCATCATCTTGAGAACTGCGTGCCTTTCTTTTCCTTTCAGGCTCCTTCCCCATAACCATTACGCCTGGTGAGAATGCAGAGCTGGTTCAGGAGCTCCAGCATTTTACACAAGACGGTCACAGCAATTCACTCTGTGACTGCAGGCATGCTGACCTGTTTTGCTTTCCATCATCATCTGTAAAATGAGAATAGCATTCACCTCTTCCACACGGAAGATGGGATTTATTTGTTTGTGCTTTAAAATGCACTGAGGATAAGAAGAGCTATATAAATTCCAAGTGTTATTAAGTGAAAATGAGTTAGATATTTCCAGTGTGAAACACAAAAGCAAAACAAGCAAAAACCCAGAAAAATGCCTACTGCACAACTCCCTGAAAGAACCTTCCTGTATTGAAAACAAACTGTACGTTAAAGCACTAATGCCCTTGGCCTCAAGAGGAAACTTGTAGATAGTTATCAATTTCCAATTAAGGGATTTCTCTAACAGTATATAATAAAGCAGATTGCACAATATTTCTTTTCTGACATCAATCTTTCCAAAATAAGCCTACTAAATAGTTATCTCCTTCATCAGATTACTGAGCTACAGCGAGGCCCTAAATCACAGCTCCCCATTATTGACTCAGAGGACGCAAGGTCAATATGAACTATTCTCAAATGCCAGCTGATAACAACCAGGGCCATTGCTGAGGAGAACAGGAGAGGAAAAAGGTATTAAATGATTAAATCATTTTTCTCCCATCTGGATCTCTAGTTTTCCTCGTTATTACTCTGCTTGAAGTAAAATGGACTTTTCTAGCACACAGCTTGAGCAACCATAGAGCTGAGACAACACTTAGAAGGAAAAAGTCACAGAATCTCCTCTATTCTTTATTCCAATTCGGTTGTTCCTCTGATTTTTCATGAAGAATGAGGACACACGCAGCCCCTCCACTGGGGACATCTGCGGTGCCTTGTGTTACGCTCATTCCCTGCAGAGGGGAGGGGAACGTGGCTCCCTCACCCCCAGAGTGGCTTTATATTCCCATACTGCTGTAAGAGTCGAGGCAAGTGGCATGCAGGATCCCACGTACTGTGACAGGACCAGAGCTGACAAGAAACACCAGCACAAGGGGTTGGGTGCTCTCCGTGGATCATCTGAAATACTTAGTCTCATCTAAATACATAAATAAAATTTACATGCTAAAAACATCCCACATATTCTCATGTGGTGGCATATATATTTACAATATTGATATCAAGTAGATTCTTAAGAGACCATCATACAGAACTGAAAAAGAAAAATCTCTTATGTAGAAACCAGCTTTTGAACTAAATCAAACACAACTGTTTCATGCTCAGATGCATTTATGGCTCACGGATAGCTGGACTAAATATAAGCAATCATTAAAGCTGCAAGTCCTGTGGGGCCATGGTAATCAGACAACCACACTGTCTTCTGCAGATCAGGAGAGATTTGCTCTCGTGCACACACTATGCAGTGTAGTGCAAAGTAGCAACCTGGGAATTAAAGTATTTGCTTTCAGACGTAGGATAAGGAAGGTTTCATCAGCCACTATTACCCATCATCAACAGGAATTAACCTGCCTGTTGTTATTATTTCAAGTGTGGCACAATCCTGTTTAGTTTGGTGGGTTTTGTTTGTTTGGTTGGTTTTTTTTAAAAAGGTAATGGGAAGAATTATAGGTCGTTCTTTTCCTCTGTAAAGCAGCCATAATAGAGCTGTCATATTGGTTATTGAGAAAAGTATTACATGTACAAGAAACACAGTTTTTACGAAAAACTGTCTTCAAGGAGGACTGAATTCCTTTAGTTTGCAAAATTGTTCAATGTTTTTGAGTTGGGAGATGAACAACTCTGCCTTCTGAACACTCCATAAATAGATACCAAGGTATTTCTATGTTACCCGTTTCCACACTCTAAGCCAGCCACTGTTGCAGCAAGACCTGTAGAACCACTGGGATTTGGATCCTACCAAGTATCTTCCTATTTTCAGAGCTGAGCATACAGGAAAAGCCATGAAAGGATGAGAAGTCTTTCCTCATGGTTCAGTTTCATGGCTAAAACATGGCTTTTAGTTGCATACAAATTTACTAGGGAAAAAAAAAAAAATTGGTTCAGCTAGGCTTTTCCCCAAATATCTTATTTGCTACAGAAATGGCACTGTCCTCTTCACTGAAGAAACAAAAGCTAACATCTCATTCCTACCCAAAACAAGATGTAACCCATGGCTGACTCGGAGCAGGAGTGACAAGAATACACCAAATGTTCTCGTGAAACGAGGTGCTTGAGACGACAGTCGGCCTCCAGATCAAATGCAGCAAATGCAATCACCAAGCAGCAGTTGGTATTTCTGAAAACCAAGCAGGACTCCTCCAACAAAACAGATGCAAACACCTAAACACAGAACCAGCGCTGAGCTGACACTGAAGATGGCATCCCACCAACGGGAGCCACAGCTCTGCTGGAAAAACAACATGCAAGTCTGCTCTGTGTGGAGGAAGTAACGTGGTTCACTAACTCAGCCCTTCTCATTCAACAAAAAAAAAAAAGCTCCTTGTATTCCTACCTGACTCTGCAGCGACTATTTTAGCTATCTGACTCCGAAGGTGACTCAGCTCATCCTGGAGCTCTGTTGTTCGGCTCAGTGCTGGTAAACCAGGTTTCTTCAAGGCGAGCAGCTTCTCCTCCTGCTTCCTCAGGTTGGGGACTGAAGCATTTCGCTGTATGACGGTGAAGGGACTCGGCTTCCACTTGTGCTTCAGCGGGCGAGTGTCACTTCTACAGGACAAAAACCTGTTGGTCATTTACAAAGTCCAGGCCCCCTCATGACAACAACGCTCAGCAGTGCTCTGCCTCCACCTCATGACAGCAGAAGACTTCAATAAATTAAGCCTCTGCACCACCATGCTGTACATACCACTGTATGTATCACCGTAGAGATGTGCTGTGCTGCTGTATGTGCTCTCTCTGCATTACAAGGAACAGAAAGCCTGTCACAGAAATCATGACCCAAGGGCACACGATGTGGTGAGAGGATGCAGGGACAAAACTCTGGGCGTGTTCACAGAGTTTCAAGTAATTTTTCTCCTGGTGCCAGGCAGTGCGCTGGGTGCACATGGGAAAGGTCACTTGCCCATTAACTTTTGTCTCTGATCTCAAAGTCCATTTTATCTTTCACAAGATACCTATTACTAGTGCCCTGCTTTAAGCACAAAAGTTCAACTGGCCAGAACCAAACTCCTGGGGGCAGAATGTTTAAATCCTGGGAGAACTCAACTCTTCAACTTTCTAACCAGAAAATATCACGGGTCGGGGGGTTACTCTGCATAGATTTTTCTGGGAGTAACGTACGGCATGTCACAGGCTCCTAGCACTTCCTACAGGAACTCCTCCCAGGGTCCTCTGTCCATTTTTTTTTCCCCTGTCTCTTGGGAAAACATGTCTTTCAGACCTTGAGAGTACTCGAAGTTGTGATCATTTGACAGATGTCTGGCCTATGCTGTATGAAATGAATTAGTGTATAAAAATAAGGACCAGCAGACACAAAGAGGAAACCAACCTGACTCTGGCATATGTTTCTTCATCATCTGCTGCTATCCACACAATGTCTGCCAAGGTGGGGACTGGAGGGACGTCATTTAAATAGAGCTCAGAAACATTTGGTAGAACCTAAAAAGAAGAGAGTTACATTAAGGAGATGGTGGTCCTGCCTCCTGAAGCTGCCTCAAATGTGCGACAGCAGCACCACTGGGCTCATGGAAACGTCACGCTTCTCTGCGTCGGCTTCTGCATGTGTTCCCAGGGCCTTGCTGTGCCCTGTGAGACTGAGCAGCGAGGGGATACACGATACAGCTCAGCACGCTGCCGAGGCCACGTGCAGCACTGTCCTTGAGCTTAAACAGTGACGTAAGCGTTTCCATAAACCCTGTTTTACTGTTTAGGAAACACAGGCCCAGAGGGCATGCAGCTTGCTGGAGGTCACACAACAAAGCACTGGTTCAGCAACTCCAAGTTTCTGTCTCCTCAAGTTGCCAACAATCACTTTACAAGAACAAAATTAAAAAAATAAAAAAAAAAAAAATCTTAAAACTAACTGTACTGCTACGTGAGTTTTGTGAATACAACTCTGCAGCCACAAGTGGCCGACACAACAGCAGCTCGTGACAGTGCCTTGGCTTGCTCAAGAACGGCAGCTTCCTATACGCGATCACCAAGTCCCTTACGAGTCTGCTTACCTCAAAGGTTGCTCTGGGACAGGGCTTTAAAGGGAGGTTTGACCCAATCCTCCTGACAACGCTGCGTGCTGAGCCGTGGGGCTTGTTCTGCCAGATGGGTATCGTCTGCAAGAAGCCATGTGATACAATTAAATATTTCAAGTCAGTTGACCTTAACATTTATTAAATTGGAAATTACCCTATGCAATCAACTCAAGAGCTCTGATTTCTTCTGACTTCTTATTTGTTCAGTGATACGTTTATTTGGGAACCTGCTGATGACTAAGGTCCTCCTTCTCCAAAACTGTATTTCACCTGAACATACGTGAAAGTCAGTCAGTTACTAAGGGGCATTTTAAACACGGGTGTAGTATTTTCAGGACTGGAAACTAAAAGCACTCAGTACAGACACTGAGCTCCAAATGTAAACACTCCAAAAGGAAGAAAACAGCGTCACATGAGGCACCCAGAAGGAAAATAAACTAAGACGGAAGTCTCATTTAGAGGAACACTCTCGCTTCCACATGACCTTTAATACACTGGTAAGACTGTGAACACTTCTCGGATGATAGCAAAGTTACAGTCCACTGACCATTACCTGCTGCTGCTGTTTCAGGTGGGCACCAACGTTACACTCAAAGTGACAAATCTATTCAACACCTGTATCAGCCGAGGGCTAACCAGAGCCGTGTTGGAGAGTGTTTTCAGAAACAGCAAATGTTGTAGCGATCTCTGAACACTTCTGGATTGGATTCAAAAGGCGAAGGGCTCTGTCCTTTGACTGTCTTCCCCTCTGCCAGTTTTACGGCCGTCACAGGCTCTTGTGACAGGAGGCAGCACAAGACTCTGGACAGCAAATACCACAGTAACAAACAGGAATCCAAACAGCACCCAGTCCAACAACAAATCCCTTAATTTATTTATTGCTGAAGGTTGTTATGCACACAATGCCTGATCATTGGTTTTATGCGGCTAAGGTTTAAAATTCCTGACGTGTGCTTTAGATTGAATCTCCGAGCTGGGCGTGCACCGACTGCTGTAAGGGGGGGGGGGGGGGAAGATCCCCGGGGGGTGTGGAAGAAGGGCCCCGGGGCCCGCCGGCTGCGGGAGGCGCTTCGGCCGCGTTACACTTACGGAGTCCGCGGCCATCTCCGGCTCTGGCGGCGGCCGCCGGGGCGGGCTCAGCGCTGGGTGCTGCGGCTCCGGCGGGCGCGGACCGGGCTCATCTTCCCCCGCTCCCCGCCGCGCTGGCGCTTCTCACTGGAAGACAGGAGCGAGTCGCTGCGGGAACCGCCGGCCCACACGGGGCCGGGACGAGCCCGGCCTCCCTCCCTCTCCCCCCGCGGCCCCGCCGGTACCTGAGGGCCGCCGGCGCAGCTCGGCCCCGCTCCCGGCCCCTCCGCCGCCATTACACGGAAGCAGAACCCGCCCTTCCGGTGCCCAGACCGCGGCGGCGCTGTAATGGCGGCCGCGGCTCTGATGGGACGGACGGGCCGCCCCTCTCCCACCTCCCCGCTCCCCACAAGCCCGGCCCTGCTGCCCCCCCCCCCCCCCGCCACCGCCGCGCCCGGAGCACACAAGGACTGCAGGAGGCTGAGGGGGAGGTGGGACGGTTTACCAAGCGCGGGTACAGCCGGGCCCCCAGGGCCCCTCACGCCAACCGGGCACCGAACCGCGCGGGGCTGCTGCCCCCCCGGACCCTCGCTGACAAACATCGGCTCTGGCCCGTTGTGGGTTTCAGACCAGAGCGTCACAAAGCACAGGAGGTAGGGGAAAGCAGCACCTCCTCCCTCTCCTCCCCCCTCCGCGGTACTACAAACCTATCGGAAAAAAAAAAAAACAAAACAAAAAAAAACAAAAAAAAAAACCCAAACTTACTAAGTTTACAAATAGGAGACAAAAAGCTTCAGGCAACAGCTGTCTGGAGCCCGCCCACGGCAGCAAATGGGCAGTGATGGGTCAATTAGGCAGTTTTGCAGTTAATGGGGGGGACGCGATCGGGTCCCCCCAAACTGCTCCAGCCCGGCGGCGGCTGTTTGGGCTCCTCTGCCGCTGTTCAGGCTGACCCCCCTCACCCTGAGCTCAAACCGGGCAGGGCTGCAAGAGCCTGGCAGTTCACGAGAGAACAAACACGGGGCTGGCAGGGACCCCGAAGGCTTCGGGCTCACGGCGGGTTGGGGCACGGACCCTGCTCGTGTGCGGGAGTAGCGCAAGCGCGGTGTCTGGGAGGCAGCTCTGCGTCTGCAGGATCAAACGAGGGATGCTGCTCCTTGCGACTCCAGACCTCCCCGGCCCTGCAAAACCGCTGCCATGCCCGTTTTTCCAAGCCTTGAAAGACAAAAGCAATCCCTGCCTGCTCAGCCGCTGCCCTCTCCGGCCCCTTCTGCTGCAAAACGGGTGGGAAGGAAAACAAATGGAATGAACTCTGCACCTCGGCACAACTGACAGACACTGCTTCAAAGTCTGAAGCCCCTGACCAAGAGGCTCAGGAAAAGGGCAGCAAAAATACCTCAGGTGAAGCTTTGTAAAAGCCAGAAGGGCAGATCTACACTGCAGCTGTGCTTCACAAGGAGCCGGGGGCAGGCAGGCACTGGCTCTCTGCTCGGGCTGAAGTTGCCCAAAGGGATGAGACCAAATCCAGCGTGACAGGAGCTCGGTCTCGAACGCTGCCCGGAGGCTTTGGCACTTTCTGCAGCTGAAAGTGCTTCCGGATCCAAGCCCATCATTACTGCAGGCCCCTTGGAGTGTGAAAAAAGTGCAGAGCTAATGCATAGTTATAAAGCCAATAGTGAGAAACATCCCCGGGGTAATTAATCTCACTCGAGCAATTAGTGAAGCTACACTGGTTCAGCGCAGAGGTCCGTCCATCTAAGCTCAGTCTCCAGCCATGGATACAGACAGGAGGGCTGGGGCAGGGTGGGGACAGGGTAATCACCACCCCGGGGTTCCTTCCAGGTCCTGGAGCCCAGGAATGAAAATACAACTTTTACAACAGAAAAACCAACCAAAAAAAAAAAAAAAAAAAAAGGCTTTTCCCTCCATTTGATTTGGTCCAAAAAAATTGTGCTTCAGAAGGCAGAAAAAGCATCAACAGCCATGGCTGTTTGCAGCCACTTACTGAAGATGCCTTGCCTCCTCACTATTTACAGGGATATGCTTTAAAACCTGTTCCATTTAACTTCTCCTCAAAATTACACTCACTCTGTAGCCAGGCATTGGTACAGAGTAGGATGAGCTGCTTGGAGTGGTTACAGATAAGGGACAATGGTGTTCTGTCTGAACAATTTCTTTGGAAAAGTATGAAAATTTCTTTAGTACTGCTGGCTTTTAAAACTGCTCAGTTCTCAAGCAGTTAATGCTCTCAGGGCAACGCTGAAGCTCCTGTTCTGGAAGGGAACTTCATCGTTAAGCGTGACTGGGAAGCTCAAAGCAAACATGGACAGAGCATTTCGCCACCTCTGTGGAGACACTAGGAAAACAAAGCTCTCCAAGCTGGTGGGGCAGGAGTGGTTCTGGGCTGAAAGGGGTGGGGGCACTGCTCACTGCTGTGTCCCATAGCCTGGGGTGCACGTACTGCATTGGTGGAACTAACAGGGGCTCTGACCTCTAATCCACACCTGACGCCTCTGAGCTGCACCATACCTCTAATGCCCTGGTCTCCATTCCTAACTTTGCTGTGTCAACTTGACCACCTCCCTCAGATGCAAAGAACCTGAATAAATTGAGACTGCTCTCCTGCCATGCCACACCGGGTGCTGGGAGGAGGCCACTCCAGAGCTCAGGCCTCCACTCTGAACCTCCTACGATCGTGTCTACACTTTACCAGCCAGAGTCCCATTATGCATCGGTTGCCACCGCTGCCAATAAACGCTGCCGTGAAGAGCTGACATCCAAGCTGCAGAGCAGCTTACAGCTCAGAGCTGCTGCTGGCGAGGAGGTGTGGAGGACACCAGCTACCAGGAGGGAGCTTCCCACCTGCACTGCAGGGCACAGGCGCTCACCACGAGTGTTCAGTCGTAATGGCAGTGATGTTCTCCATGACTCAATGCACAGTCCAGTCCTTGAGATCAGGGGTTTCTGGATGACGCTTGGTATAGCTGTTACATGAGTTTCCCCACAGAGTCTGAACAGGAGCTGGAAAAAACATGAGGGTGGGTGGCAAACCAAGGCCTATGCACCGAGAATGTTTACAGATTCAAGTATTTTCACTCCTGTAAAAATTTGCCTGAACTCAAAAGGGCAGGTTATGTAAACTGGTATCACTTGAAACTTAGCCTCAAACCAACATCATGAGCAAAGCCTCAGTCCTGGGACTGTCTGCATCTTAACTGTTGTAATCAAAATAGATCTCTGAAGTCTTTGGCCATTTCCATGGGGTATTTAAGTGCCTTTGTTTTTAGGCCTGAAGGTGTGGTTTTGCTCTTTGCAGTCCTTCCTTCAGGAACTGCAGGTAAGTTGCAGTAGAAGGGTCTTCAAAATTGGTCGAGAAACTAAAGATGCTACTTTCAACATCTTCAGGCTTCATAGAAGTAATGTCCAGGAAGTAGTTGGCATTGATATGGTGAACCTGAGAAATAAAACAGACAGAGAGACTTTATGGGCCAGAACAATTCCCCATCCATTGCCTTGGCCTCTGTCCAGGACACAGGTAACAAGACTATAACAACTCTTAAAGAATCCCTAGTACTTTGCAAATGCTAATTCAGCATCTGTGATTCAGGTGTGCATTTTACAGAGAAAGATATGTGAAAGACAACAGTCTGTTTCTTCCCCCAGAAGTGGTGACCCCTCACTTAGGATAAGATGATGAAGGTGATTTGGGAAGAATCACTCAGGTGTAAAACCTAGTTCTGAGCATGGGCTGGGGAGATGGCAGCCCGACCACGCTGACTGCTGGGGTGCTTGCTTGCTCTCAGCCCAGCAGGGCCGCAAAAACAGCACCTGAGCTTCAAACGCCTCCGTGCTTTCTGCTCCTCCGTGGAGGTGGGAAAGGGGGGACGTGTGGCCACTAAGCTGATGCCGCCCACCAGCCCACAGCCTCATCTGGAGGGGAGCCACTGAAGAGCCAGCAAGGAGTCATTGCACGCATTACTAGCGAATATCTGGCAAGTGTGGGGCACAATCAGATTAGCCCTGGCAGGATCTGCTGCTGCAGACAGCCCGGCAGCGAAGTGCTGCGCTGTCAAGTGTCAGGAACTGTTGTCGTTCTTCAAATTCAAGACGGGGGGGGGGGGGGGCTGCTGCGGGGAACAGCAGAGCCAAAGCGTGTGGACTTGCTAATGGCTGACCTGCTGTGACAAACTCGGGGAATCAAGAGAAAGATAAATGTGCTAGAAGGCGCTGATAAGGAGACATTTTCTCCAAAGCATGAGCACAAGGGACAATGGGTGCAGGAAACAGCTACAATGGCTTCCCAAAGGTCACTGACTCCAACCAGGGACAAGGAAGAATCACAGGCAGATGTTTGGTTCAAGTCTGATTATTCCCCCCACCTGCCCAGAGCTGCTGTTGTTCCACCTCTGAATAAAAAGACATTTGTTTCAGATTTCTTGATAGAGCTGCCGTCTGCCACAGCATCCCTGAGAGCATTGCACCGTGAGGGACTACGGCCCCACAACAGCTCCAGGAGCCAGGGAATGGCTGGGGGAGCAGACACTCGCCTCAGGGTCTGCAGATGACCCTGAAAAGAGCACATTCTGATGGGAAGAGCCAAGCCATCTAAAGGGGTAACGAACATACCACCGTGCCGTTGGGGAGGCAGATGATCATCTCCACGGGGAAGTTGTATTTCTCCAGGTGCAGGTCAGCCAGCTTGCTGTAGAACTCATTCTCTCTGTTGCTCTGTAAGGAGAGCCCAAAGAAACATGCCTGCACACACCAAAACTAGTAGGAGGGGTACACCCAACACAGGAGGAGGAGGCAGACCAAAAAGCTACCCTGCAGCATGGCAGTAACTGGCTCCATTCTCACCATCTGCTTTACTATTCCCCTTCAGTCAGTCTCCACCTCACTTTCCAACTGTAGATTTTATCCCTGAACAATAAAAATCACCCCATCATTGGCAGTTCCCAGGCACACCAACAGCCTGATCCCAGCTTGTCCTAGAGTCTCCAGCCTCATGACTAACCCCAGCTGACAGCACAGACCCAGAGAGTAGCTCATAAGCGAGGAAAGGCTCAATCAGCAGACCCAGGGTTCAGACAGCATTTGGTTGCTCCCTGGTTTAGAGAGAAGTCAGTTTGATGATGACACAAATGGCCTTGGGCAGGGCTATCTCGCAGTGAAACATCTAGTTTAGCTTTTAATACTGGCTCCCTCACAGAGCGAAGCGGGTCATTGTGCTGTTTTCTTAGTCTGCTTCCATCTGGTGTTTGTTTGGCCCCTGCAATTGCTAGGATGTGGAGGGCTTGGAACCGAAATCCCCCCTGGCACAGGTGGGAGTTCCCTGCTCCTGCTGGCACCCCCATGCCAAGCACCGTCTGTGTTTAGCAGCACCGAATGCAAAGAAAGCAGATGTGGCCATGGCACTCACCTGCAGCTCTTCCAGCTCCTTCACCAGAGACCAGCTGCTAATGAAGCTCTCGTTCAGCAGGGCGAGGATGGGCGAACTTTCCAGGACGGTCTCCCGGAGAGTTCGCCCTGAACCTGGCATAGGAAGAGAGGCAAACAGTGCTTGCTGAGTTTCCTGAGCTGACTGTTGCCATGTTTGATGTCACCGCAACGCTATCGCTCTGGTTGCTGCAGTGGCTAGCTCGGGCTCCCCACAGCCCAGCCCATTGTCTTTCTCTCTTGTTGGCAGTTTTCCACAACTTATTGTTTCCCATATGTGCTGCTGGCAGAGCACCAGAGCAGACCCCAGCCACTTGCAAGGCAACAGAAGGACCAGGACAAGCTTGCCATGGAGGCTCACTGGCTTGGTGTATTTGGGAAAGGATCAGGCCCTGCAGACCCACCCTGTGTGCTTCTTGCTGTCCATGCCGAGCAGAGTCCATACAAGCTGGAGAGTTTTTTAAGGGCAGATAGGACTAAAGACATCCGCCCATTGTTCCTGCCCAATGCTCTCAGGTGTGGAGGGGGAAACTGCTACATATCAGGACAACCCCAAGCCCATCTCTGGCTCAGGCATCAGGGACAAAGCAGAGAGCAGCGTCCCGTTCACTGTGCAGATGCTGCCTCTACCCAAGCAGACTGAGAGGGGAAGAGAAAGGAGAAAGATCAGACCCATGCATCCACCTCGACAAAGGCACCTGAATTAGTGAGTTGGTCTAGGGTTTGTCTCAAATAGATCTGGTCCTGCCACTGAAGACCTAAGTTCTGATCAGTAATTCCCTACTTCCAGCCCTTTTCTCTTCAGAATCTTCAGTGCCAAAATGAGTAATATAACATTTACCACTGGCTCGTGACCAGCTCCCTGACCCCCAGCTCTTCTCAGAGCCTGAACGAGGTACATCATTCCTCCAGACACACTGGGCATGGTCTCACCTCAGCAGGACTGGTCATCCAGGGCACCCCACAACAGGATCGAGTGCACCAGCTTCTTTTCTGCTTTTGCTCTCTCGAAAGCTTGTGTGAAGGGAAGATAGGAGACCTGGAAGCAGAGAGACAGCTTGAGGAACAGACGCAGAACAGCCCATCTCAAATACAAGCAGGGTCTGAAGGAACCAGACCTCAGACATCCCACAGGTGACACACAGAGAATTTAATCTGCAGTAGTTCCTGCAGATTAAAGCAAGTGACAACCCCTCTTCCCAGGGACAACTTCATCTCCTTGTGAGACTGTAGCGAGTCCTCACAGCATGTGGGCTGTTACCAGCACCTGCAGAGTCCCATCTTTACACACTGCAGAGAGCATCTGCACAACTGCGGGCAGGCTGCCTGCAAACACACCTCAGCAGCCTGGGAAATCTGGCCTTGAGATATTTATTACAAAACTGCACTGAAACAGCCTAAAAACTGGCTGGGAGGGACCCTGCGCAGAAACTGTTCCGATCGCTTAAATGAAGGGAACTTTATTAACATCTTGGCAGCTAAAAAGGACATTTGTAAGCTCAGGCACAAGGAGTCAGCCATTGAAACGTGTCCCTTCAGCCAAGGAAGCAGTGACAGGCAGTAGCCATCTGCTCCACAGGCTACTGGCATGTTATATAGTTTAGGTCACCCAGTGCTATAAATTTGTGTCTCACTGCAGGGTGCAGAGGCACAGGCGGATTGTGTGTTTTCTGCTGATAAGGAAAGCTTGGTCCAAAGGTAGCTGAACATTGCAAAAGTAACGCCAGAGGAAAACTATTTGTAAGCAGTGTGATTACCTGCCTTGCTCAGAAATCGCGTCGGTGGCTACTGATAAGAGGAAGGAAGGATGAGCCTACATTTACAATACACGCCTGAGACACATGACATCTAGGTTTTGCTCCTGCCTCTGCTGCTGTGTAACCCCAAATGGCCTTTCAGAGATGCTGTACTCCCTCATCTGGAAACTGGAAATCCATCAAGCCACACACACAGTGCCTGGGAGGCGCACGCTGAGCTGGGAGACCCTCACACTGTTCTGAACGCTGATCAGGTTGTAGCCTCTGGTTTCTGCTGGTCCTCGAGGTGACTGGACCTCTCAGTGAAGATGATCTGCCCCGAATAAACGTGCCAAGGAAGAGCCCGGCCCCTTCCTCACCTTCTTAAATGGATACATGGCCACTTCCAGTTTCTGGGCTGCCTCTTCCCAGGGGATTTCCTGCTGCCAAGCTATCTCTTCGAACACAAACTGAATGGGCTCCCCTGAGGGATCCCTGCTGTCAATCACATTTCCATTCTCGTCATGGATCACAGAGGGGATTGAAGGCCCTGTTGATTCCAGCTCCATCTGCAGGAGAACAGGCTGAGTTGGACATTGCAGAGATCCTACTCCTGGTTTTTCTCTACTCCAGGACAGCATAAAGAGGCAAAATAAGACCATGCAGCTTCTAATGAAGATACAGCTTGATCAATTGTCTCCTGGAGCTGCAATTTACCAGTTGCAGATGTGTTTTATTAGCGAATAGCAGGAAAGCGACTTAATTTCCTCCAGCTATTGTCTAACTGTGCTCACTAGATTGGAAATGCATGAGACCTGTTCACTCCATGTTCCCACCTTCCCAGTGGAGATTTTTGACCGTGGGACACCAGATCCTTAAAAATCGCTGGGACCTGCAAAGCTAGCTGGAAGCTCTCACTCGCATCACCAGCACAGCCCTTACACAGCCCGTGGCTAACCACAAGAGGGTGCAACAGCTGTTCAGGAGCTTCCCTGTAGTTCAATTCTGGTACATCTGAAATTATTTTGAAAGTCTCTTTTCCTGACTTTTGGCAATCAAAAAGGAACATGGATCTAGTTTAGGAGAAAAGGGGACTGTTAAATTCAGGCATTCAAAATCCTGACTTATGTTTCCTGTCCCAAGAGCTGGGATTACTACAAAATAGAGGAAAAATCTCATGCAGCTTCTAAATTCAGACACGCTGTTGTTCTTACACCCCTGTGAGCTCAAGGCTTGGGTTCAGCTCCTAATCTTCCCCCACTGCATGTCAAACAACTTTTTAAAAATGGAAAAAGTCGTATGACTGGCATCTTAGGATTCAACCCACACAGAGGGAAAAAATAAAATATCACAAGAACTGGCAATAGGGAACCATACTGCTGCAGAGGACGTATGCAGATCAACAGAGATTATATTATTATATTGAAATGTTCAAAATAAAGCTCTAAAGAGGGATAACTGAAGTTGTACAGCCTAGGGGCATGGCACCATAAATCCCTGCTGAGACGCTCCAGGCATATGGAGGACAGAGAGTGACTACAGACCTGAGGCAGGTAACCGATATCGACTTCCATGTTGCTGCTTTCACTCGCCCCGTACAGCCACTCCATATCAACGTTCAGAGACCTGCAAGGTGAACCCGGTACATTCAGAGTCACCCAGGGCTAAAGCTGTGAATGGGAAACCCCAAACAAGTGAGAACATCCAATGCTTCTCTTGCAGGGTTAACACTGAAGGCCAGAACCTCTGGCCCCTTGGAGATCACGGTGTTCCCTGCACAGGAACAGCAACACTAGATCCCTGCTGGATCAGGGCCCAGGCACACACTCAACACTCTGGGCAAATGTGCTCACACCTTTGAGTACTGTCAGAGTATGGAAGAGAGAGGTCTCTTTGCTCCCCCTTCCTTCCCAGCACTTAACTTGCACATTCTGATCCTGCTGAACTTTTAAAAGTGTTTTTTTGGAAGTGAAAGGCTTTTGTAAGGAGTTGCTGGCAGAGCCGTAAATGTCTGCTTGCTGTAACAAATGTGCTGACAGAGCCATAGGGATTGAGTCGCCAGGGTAATGTTATAATAGAATTTTCACTCCAGCCGTCATGGGCAAAGAGATTTGAAGCTTCTTTCCCCTGAAACGCTTCCAGCTGCTTGCCAGAGAGCAGGAATGAGCTAGTGCAAAGCTATGCACACAAAACCTTAACCTGTGAAACACCAAGCAAAAAATAGGTTGAAGCAAGAGCGTCAGGCTTTGCTGAACTTCAGTGCTTTAAGCCAGGCACTGGGATTGCCAGCGGCTGCTCTCTACACCCTGACCGTTTCTCCCCATCCTCCAAGTACCAAGGGACAGCTACTGGTGAGTGAATTAGACCCTGAAACGGGTCAGGGATCCTCAGCGACTAGTACAGATGCATTTGCCAGTTTTAGACAACTGCAGAGCTCAATTCACTCAGATTTTCCAGGGATGTGTGCTGAAAAGCATGAGCACGTCTATCACAGTCACCTAAGGAACCTTCTGCAGCTTGCAACAGGTATGTGACACCTGGAAGAGTCCCCACCACAACCAGGGACTGCTGGGGCAGGCCAAGGGGAGCAGTGCTTGCAGCAATGCTACTAACGAAGAGGTTGCTGTCTGTCTCTAGGGCAATATCAGGACAGCTTAAATTCCCCATCCCTGTGTGTCTTCCCACGTGCCTGCAGGTACCTCCCTCTAAAGTGGTTTGGCACAGGCAGCTCAGGCTTGGACACTCAGCTGAAGCATGTGCCAGTTGCAGCCAGGTTGTGCAAGGACATCCATCCCCAACCCCATGCTCCATGTCCCCAGCAACCTCTGCCCTGCTTCCCCCCGGTCCCTCCTCTGCCCTTGTCCTTCCCTGCTTCTTCCAAGCCAGTTGCCCTCCAGATCTATTGATAAACAGAGCTATTCCTGAAAAATTGCATCAGAAACAGTTTAGGGAGCTACTGTATCTAGAGAATTGAGGACACGATGACCGCGATGACCGCTGGCAGAGAAGGATGTACGGGGAAAATAGATAAGCAAACAGCAGAACAAGCCTGGCCAAAGCTCAGACTGCAGATCTGCCTTCTCTACACGGGCCTGGATGCCCACATACCACAAGGGACAGGGCTGTCCCTGCACCTGGATCTTCACAGAAAGAGAGCCCACCAGCTTCCCCCCATGTGTGGCCCCCAGTCCTGCACAGGACAGGATCCCTGAGCCCCTGGGTTCCACTGGGCTTCATTTATAACAATTCTCAAGTCTGTTCAGCACTCGGGAAGAAACAGCTGTACCTGTTATTAGGGACAAAGAGCTTAAACTCTCGGACATGGGAAGAATCCTTGGAGAGAATGATGTGACCTGTGAACTGGCCTGGGGAAAACCAGAAGGGGAAGTCTGGTGGCTCGTTCAGCTGGAACTCAGCGTGGATCCTGAAACGAGAAAGGAGCCATCAGCTGCAGTGCTGGGAGGAGAGAATGGATCATGCACTGCAGATGACAGCAGGGAAAAGTTATCTCCAGGCACCAGAGATTATGAAGCTAAATTGGTGCAGAGAGGTTCAGTTCAAAAAGCTTTTCATGTCACACGATGAAGAGAATAAAAGACTAGAGCAGATCCCCTGGGTCAGGATCATCTCCAGTATCAATGCCTTTTGGAATTGGGCAGTAAGTGCCCATCCAGGAAGGATGAATTACGTTATCATTCCTTGAAACACAGGAACAGAGTAAGACCCCTTCACTCTCCCTTTCAGCTCGATCAGGGAAATAAAAGCTGTGTGTAACACTCACAGTAAAACAAGAGAACAAATTCCCAGACTCTCCCCCTTGGAAAGGCACCCCACCCCCAATCAACCAAGATCTAACAAATGTCTTGCTGATCAGATGCTCCCCTTTCAGCCAGGGATAGCTCTAAACCAAGGGTGGTGGAGAACAACTGCTGTCCTGCAACTGGGCAACAGCTCTTGCCTCAGCAGGGCCTCACTGGGAGCACGGGTGCCCTCTTTGGGTGTCAGCAAAGCACCACACGGGCAGGAGCTGGCTGTGAACCATCCTCTTCCTCCAACTGCTTTGCCTCCCTCCCAGCCAGAACACATCTGGTCTTGCTTGGGAACATGACTGCACGTGCAATAACATGCACATGTTCTGCTATGGGTTCACAGCAGCCTTCTCCACTCCCCTGAGATACGGAATAAATTCAGAAGTGCCCCCAAACCCTCCTCTAACACCCTGGACCCATGGCCTTACCTGAATGCTATGGTATAGTAGAAGGTGCTGATGGCTTGGATGCAGGCCACAGCGCCTTGGGGAGCAAAGCGGGTTTTGACAAAGGGGCGTGGGTGGAACATGCTCAAAAGCCTGTGGATTATGATCTAGAGAAAGAATTGTAAGAGAGCAAAAATGAGAACAGTTCCTCCACTGCAGGTCAGCTGCAGTTCCAAAGTAACTCCCCACCAGATCAGGAAGGCAAGAGAACTGCTACGACTTAAAAATTAGCTTGGAGACCTACCCAATCACAAAAAAAGGAGATAAAGCAAGAGGCTGCTTTTTAAAATGAATCCATCTTCTATGCTTTTTATGCTATTCCCATTGTTTGCAAGTTTCTATCATCCCAGTTGGTTGAATGTCTGAGTATGCTAAACTGATCTATGAGGCTGCCTCCATCAATACTACTTAAGAGTTTGGAAGAGAGGGTGTTCAATCAATGAGCACACCAGGCTGTGAAGGTGCATCAACTATGTGATCACTAACACCCACCCAGGCACCCTGGGGAGAGCGATATACACGCCTGGCTTTACAAACTATGTACACACATAATTTCACTTGTCAGTGAAACGCTCACCTCTGGGGTGGCACATGGCAACTGTTCCACAAGGCACGATCACTTCATACAAGTGCGTTCTGAATAACCCTCTCCCCTTCCTGTCCAGGGAAGACTAGCCTAAAAACCCAAATACTTCAATGAAGCAAGGTGAAGTTACTCAGGTCAGCCTCATCTGGCCATGACAGACACCCAATGCTTTTGCCTGCTCTCAGTATTTCCTCCAATTTAGGGGATGGTGCTCCTGGCTGTACGTTGCAGCCTTTTTGCTCCCTTAGAAAGTCTAGGAAGAATGCAACAGCCTTGTCTGCCATAGGGACTCCTGAGATTCATCAGGCAAAAAGTTATAGGAACTTCCTCTCAGGTACATAGAAAATAGGCTTCATAGCTCACCTCTTTGCCCTTGGGGGGTGGAGGGTAAAATCTGTTGTTGGAAAGATACCCAGTGAAGATGTTCAATTCACTAGGAATTATCCACCATGGATCCCCAAGATCCAGTTTATTTTTTGGAGGAAGAAAGGCTTTAAACTGCCTGGCAAGCATCACGCCCATAGGGGTTGCTGGGGCAGTCCAATTCCTCAGCCCAGACAGAGCAACATGAGAAATCTGTGAAAAAAAAAGACACTATCAGAGCCTAGACTGGGCTCTTCAATCGCGCAGCTGTGCTGATGGAAGTAAGTAGGCTCTGAAGAAAGGGGGGCAAAAAAAAAAAAAAAAAAAAAAAAAAAAAAAAAATCACATTTTAAATCCTTCCTGTCACCCCAAACACCACCAAATAGTTCACTCAACTTTCAGTTATGTTAGTGATAGGAAATGGGAGAGGGGAACATACCACATAACACCACTGTTTGTGGACTTAGCTCCAGGAGAGCCACCTCTAGTGTCTGCTTCAAGCTTCCCAGGAAGGGCGTATTAACTGGGGCACAGTGCTGCTGAGTGCACTGAAAACAATGAAACGCTGCAGAAAGCAGTGAGCTTGCTCATCAAAGCAAATCCCATGGGCTTGAGCAAGATCATCTCCCCCTCCCAACACGCTAGCACTTATTCCAGCTGATGTTACCAGCCCATAGGATGTGTTTATACCGGAATTTCTGGCCACACACATCCTGCATGATACCTACTCCCAAGAAACCGTCTTTGCTCTTCGTCATCGTTTCCATGACCAAAGGCTGGAATTTAGCCACAATGGACAATGTCTCCCCGCTTGGATCAGGCGTCTCCTCCTCTTCAAATTCTGAGGTGGGAGCAACCCCTAGACAAAGGGAAAGGAATTTAAGCAGCTGTTTCCCCTCCCTCCCCTTTTAAGCAATTGTGATTACACATTTATCCTGGCAAATCCAGGAGCACTGGGAATTTCCCAGCTGTCCCTACGCTGTATGCAGTGGCAGAACTCAGACCCACCCCAGAGGCCAGTTTCAGCTGCATGAATTAAAGGGGAGCCCTCCTTTTAGTGGGAGACTCGCTAAACCCCATGGCTCAGCTAAGCAGTCTCATTTCACCAAGGAGGGATCAGAACATGTGCTTTAGCCAACGCTTTACAGCACAAGCAAACAACTATCTGTATTGTGACTGTACTATAAGCTCTCCTGTACATTATCATCACCACATTTCTCCCTGCTTAGCACCACCAGGACATCAGCCACACACTGATACAGTCTCCAGACATGATCTCTCACAACTGGTGTCTGAGAGACTGCTACAGCTGGAGGAACGCACGAATGAAGTGCTGTGACTCATTAATAGTTCTGGCCTAGCCTGGGCTGAGCTGTATTTGTTGCATTCACCCATCCCAAATCCCCTTTAAGCTCTAGACAAAGTAACTTATGTACTTTGCTAGTCTAGCAATGGGATCTTCTGTCTTATAAAAACTCTACTTTGTGAAAGTGATGTCTAGTGCTTAAGCCTTTTCAAAAACATATAAAGCCTAGCAGCTTCTCTTAGTGTAAATAAGACCCAAAACTGCACCCATAAAAAAATAAACACATGAATGAACTGAAGAGTGCATTATCTTTGGCTTTTGCTTGGTCTGTGCAGAGAGAGCTCTGCAAGGTAGACAGATACCTACCTGTCAGCTTCTCAGCTATCGGCTTGAACTCTTCTGGACTGAGGTACAGATCATTGTTTGTGTCCAGAGAAGAAAAGAGAAACAGCCCCTCACTTCCCAAAGACTTCAGTGCCAGCTCCTGGTTTGGGAAGAAGAGGCAAGTGAGATTTCATTCCAACCTCTTGCAGAAATCACTCCGGACCCTCTCAGCTTCAGAGTTAATTTGCATTCTTTCCAGCACACAAACACGGCAATCAAATCGAAAGATTAATGCCCCTTGGCAGGATTTTGTGCTATTTACAATAGGGATTGGTGTCCAGAAACTGTTGGCATGAGCGTATTAAAACTACATCTGGCTGAGTGATTCAAACTGAATCATTTGCTCAGAGTCGGCCTCAAAGCCTTTTGTCAGAAAAATCTCCAACTTTTTCCAGATAGTCCTAAACCTGCAGATATTCAGAGCACCTGGAGATCATGATTTCTGTAATTAACTGATGTGCAGTGAAACAAAGGCAGTCAAATACATGACTATCCACATTACAAAAACAGAAAGTAAATTAACCGAGCCCTTGTAACTCTGCAGAAAACAACTTCAGTTACACCCGTGCCGAGATCCATGCCAGCGTTACTGCACACAACTGCCCTGCTCCAGTCAGGTTCCCCTCCAGGTCTCCAGCCTCAGGACTGGATGGAGCATTTTGGCCCCTTGCTCTGCAGGGAGCACGGCCTACTCGTTCAGCCACACATCAGGGAGCCACAAATCCCCTGGTTTTCTCCAGAAACTTCTGTGAGATCCCAGCCACCCTGTGCCTCAGTTTCTCCCCCTGCAAAGCTCACACGGAGATCGTCCAGTGGAAAACACCACTGAAATGCAATGTCTCCCTTGGAGCAGCCCCAGAAAGACTTTAGATGCTCCTAGTCATTTCCACTCCGCAGCGCTCAGCACTGAAGGGAAAGGGACAACTTGCGGGCAGAACAAGAGAGCTCCACATCAGTGTGAGAGGAAGAGAAAGACATATAGCAAGTCAGACAAGCTACATCACTGCCAGCCACCCTGCAGCACATCCCCTGTGACCCATCATTTGGGGCAGCTTCTCCTGCCACCCCCGTAAAAGCCTAAAGCTGCAAGGATAAATACTCTGTATTCTGCTGTTTAACCGTGTTTATTCTCTATTGCCTGCAGCACCATTACCATCCCCAGAGCTCCTGAACTAGTTTATTTTCCATCTGTTGCCTGCCAGCCTGAAGCAGCACTAATGCAGCCTGGAAGGCTTTGCTCCTGTCAACTGCAGCAACAAAAGCACTTAAGAGCCTTCCAGGACAGTTTCAGGACTGAGACAGACAGAAATAAAGACCCTGGAATACAAGCCAGAGGTCTGGATGCAGACATGGCTGAGGAAAGGCAAGAAGGGGAATGTGCAGAATCTACACAGCTGAAAGAAGGAATCAAGGAACAAGATGGTTATTTATCTATGCACAGGAAGAATCCACTCCAGACTGTCCACGTTCCTGGGGCCAAAACTGTGCCTTTGTTCCCCAAACAAATGGGGATGGCACATCCTTGGCCCTGTAAATAGGTAACAATATTTTCCTGAGCAACTGCCCTGTTCCCTGACAGCCAGGTGCCACGGTCATGTCATGAAGCCTTGGGCCAGGCTTCATCACCCCTCTCGGCCCTAAATCTTGCTTGTGCACAGCACTTAATGCATTCATCTTGTAAGAGCCCGTGTGATTGCTCAAGGTGGGAGCCAGCTCACGGCGCAGGGTAGTATGCAGGGAGCTCACAATGGCTTCCTCCTCTGCAGAGGAGGCTGTCCTGGATGTGTACTGAGCTCTGAAGAGATGGTCCATTTCCTAGTCCTCTCCACAGCACATGAGTGATTCCCTGCTGATGAATCTTCTAGAGTCTCTCTTCTCTTTGCACTTCACAGACATGAACCTCAAGGGATGGGAGGCAAACAAGTGACAAAGTTTTTAGTTGGCTAGACCGCCTGCTGCTTTAGTATTAGGATCATTTACTTATCAGGGCTGAAGGCAGAAAGAGAACCAGGCATACCTCACACGTACAGAAGAACATCTCTGACTGTGTCTGAGACAGCAGAAGGTGAAGCAGGGAATACTGGTGCCCGGTGTTGGATATTAGCATCCAAAAATCAACCTAAATTGAGAGCATGCTCCCAGCCCCTCAGCCTGCACTTCTACATAGGTTAAGCAATGAAAAATCATCAGCTGCAGAACCATCAGATGATTATTCCTACAACTGCAGCTGGACACAGATACAGTAGCTTTGCGGTCAGGAGACTTATGTGTGTGTGCACCTGTGCCAGCAGCCGGCTGAACGCAGCCTCCCTGCGAACAGGACTGGTACCAGGCTCCTGCCCGCTCCGGAGGACGCTGCCCTCCCCAGAGCTAGTTAAAACAGCCACTGCTCCAGCAAAGGCACGCTCCAGGCAGTACCGGCACGGCGCATCAGTTCTCCACATCCCCATGGAACAGATCGCTCCCTTTGGAAACATTTCTTTCGACACTCACAAAGCACGGCAGCTCAGCGGCAGCGTTGCGCGAGCCCCTCCGCACCGGGACCCCAGGGACCCGCCCGGCCAGAGATAAGACCCCAACCACAGAGGAACAAAGCCTTCTGCAGAGCACACACCAGTCCCGCTGCACTCAGTCAAAAGGGACAATAAAAACTGTGTTTAAAAGGGGAGAGAGATGACAGGGCTTGGCCTTTTGCTTTCTGGTAACATTCACGTTAAAGAAAGCTCTCCAGAGCTTCCGTTTTTTTTTCTTTTTAATTTCTAATCTGGGATCATAAGAAATAAAAAGTTTCCCTGTTTGTGCCAGATAAGTAAGACAGCTTTTTCAGTCTTTTTGTAGAGGAGAGTTGTGTTTTTCACAAAAAGTTCTCTTCTCCCACCTGTTTGTGGGTTGTTTAGCTAAATAAACATTTCCACAGAAAGAGACAAGACATATGTTTTAAGCAAGATGAAGAAAAAATAAAAACCTTGGGCTGTTCACATTTTGTCCTCCTCTCCAGCAATGCCCAGGCACTGACCTCTAGAAAACCTCCAGAAGACCTGGCTCTTTGTCAGGCAGGGCTGAGGTCCTCTCAGCCAGCCTGTGAAGGACTGTCCTGACCCTTCTGTCCCTGTTGGAAGAATTCTTCGAATTAACAAGTTTGACCAATTTCCTCCTTTTTGCAATGCAAGAAGAGACAAAGAGGCATCCTTCAAAACCGTCATTTTACCATAGAAATACCAAGAACAAGAAGTCTGCTCTTTATGTGAACCTTTTTAGATGTTCAAGGATGCACGCCAAAGTGAAGAGTAGGATCTTTAACAATGGCATGCCCTCTCCAAAGCGTGCAGCAGCCATTTGAATCATACGGATTACAATCAAAACCTAAGCCCATTAGCCTAATTTAAGAAAAAACACAACAAAGCCCCTAAAAAAAAACTTTCCCATTTTTCAGCTCACGTCCTCCATTCTCGTACTGCTCCTACAGAGCTGCTTAGGGCACACAAGACCTGCATTTCTAGTATGATAAAAATCCACAAACACAAGGGTTTGGGGCCTTTTTTACAGGGAATAAAGCAGGAAGTAAAGACACCTTCAGAGGCGACGTGGAGAGGAGGAGGAGCTGGCGCTCCCACTCTTCCTCCTTCTTCTGACGGTGCCTGGTGGTCGCCACAGCTCTGTGGTTCTTTCGGCCTCATGGTGGCCACCACAATCCCTGTGGCCACCTCAAGCCTGGTGGCCACTACAGCTCTGCAAAACCTCAGCCTGGCAGTGGCCGCCTCAAGCCACTGGCGTGTGGCGAGTACTCCAGCTCAATGGCCACCTCAGTCTGGTGAAGGCCACCCCAAGCTCCACAGCCGCCGATACCCGTTTGTCCCCACAGCCCAGCCGTGGCTGCCACAGCTTCATGGCCACCACAGCCTGGCGGTGGCCACCTCACTACTGCAGCCATCAATGCCCCGTGGCCACCACAACCCAGCCGTGGCTGCCACAGCTTCATGGCCACCACAGCCTGGCGGTGGCCACCTCACTACTGCAGCCATCAACGCCCTGTGGCCACCACAACCCAGTGGCAGCCAGTACAGTTCTGTGGTCACCTCAGACTGGTGATGGCCACTTCAACCCTGGTGGCCACCTCAAGCCAGTAGCCACCGATGTGTGGCAGTCACCTCAGCCTGGTGGCGGCTATCTCAGCCCCCGTGGCCACCTCAATCCCACTGGACACTGACGCTTGGTGGTCACTTTAACCAACCTCAGTGGCCACCTCAGCCTGGCCACAGCCAACCTAACCCCAGTGGCCACCTATGTGTGGTGGTTTCCTCAGTCTAGCAGCAGCCACCTCAATCCCTGCATCCACCACTGCCTGGTGGCCACCTCAACCCCGGTGGCCACCTCAACCCTGGTGGCCATCGATGCCAGGGAGTCACCTCAACGCTGGTGGCCACCTCAACCCTTGTGGCCACCCCAGCCTGGCCACGGCCACCTCAACCCCAACCTATGCCCGGTGCTTTACTTAGCCTGGTAGTGGCCAGCTCAACCCCAGGGGCCACTTCAGCAGCCACCGATGTGTGGCGGTCCCCTCCGCCCAGCAGTGGCCACCTCACCCCCTGCGGCCACCTCTGCCTGACAGTTACCTCAGCCCCAATGGCTGCCTCAACCCTTCATGGCCACTGATGCCCCCGGTGGCGACGGCCACCTCAGCCCCAGTGCCCACCGCTGCCCGGTGGTCCCCCTCGGCCCGGCAACAGCCACCTCAACCCCGGTGGCCAGCTCAACCCCCGCGGCCCCCTCAGCCCCGCGGCCGCCACCGCCCCGATCCCCACAGCGGCGCGACCGTGTCCGCCCGCCATTTCATCCCTCCCTCCCCTCCGTGAGGGGCAGCGCGGCCTCAGCACCGCCGCCCCCCCCCCCCCCCCCCCCCGCCACTTCTCGCCCTTCCCGTTACCTGCTGCCGGGCTGCTTCAGCGTCCCGGTAATACTTGACGGCGACCAGCGCTGCCAAAGCGGCCAGGGCCAGAGCCAGGCGCGGAGGAGCCGCGCCGGGACCCGCCATCCCGGCCTCGTTCAGCGCCGCCACCGCCGCCGCCGCCGCGCCGCCATGGCCGCGCCGGCCGGGGGAGGCGTCAGGCGGGCAGCGCCCGGCGAGGAGGGGCCGGGGCCGGGCGGGGGCCTGCGCCTGCCCGGCGGGGCCCGGAGCGGGGGAGGGAGGGCGGCCTCCGGCCCCGGCCAGCCCGGCTCCCCCGCTCCGGGCCCCGGCGGCGCCTTCACAGAGTCCGGACGAAACCCCATTTTTGGGGCTTAAATTTATCTGCCGCGGGGAGTCTTGGAGGAGATTAATCTCCCTCCTCTTCAGCAATCTCATTGCATTCCATGATTTTTGCTTTTAATTATCGAGGGGGGAGTGGTGTGTCCTCCCCCCATGAATTTCCAAAGTGGTCTTTGGCCACCAATTCAGTGTTCCCCCAGAACAGCTGTATCCTGCTCCTCTACTTGGTTTCACATCCCCAAAATGGATTTTTTTTTTTTTTTAACCAAATAGTGATTTCACTGGGGTTTAAACCCCAGGACTGCAGGGATGGGAATGGCTTTGCAGCAGTGAGGTGATGGTGCTCATCTGCAGCCATTACCGAGCCTCAGCCTCTTGCCACCACATCATCACCCCCAAATTCTGAGTCATTGCTACCGTCACCCCACATTTTGAGTCATTTCCACGATCCTTTATGACACCCCAAACTTTTCCACCCTCCCTGTGTTCTTTGCGCCCTTCAGGTTCTTCTGCATGGCTGTCACATTGTTCCTTAGCAGTGGCTTGGCCAAGAGATATATATTTAGTCATTTTAATCTTTCCTCATAAATCAGTCTCCTGCTCCTCCTTACATGCAATCCTGCACTGCCACTGAAATCCCTTGATTGCTGGGGAAGATTTAGTACCATTTTCTGCTGCTGCAGGGCTAACAGTGCAGAATGTTTGATCTCTCTAAGGGTAGCAGGAAGCGTTAGCATTTAATCCTTTGAAGCTTTTGCTGTTTCCTAAGCCTGCCTAATCATTTTTGTTTTAGGTTTAAAGAGCATTTTGGTTGGAGATGAGGAGAGCATGACCAAGCCATTAAGAGAGCAGTGGCAGCTGCATCAAGGGAAGGACGAGGCTGGTAATCCTGGGCAGAGCAGGCCAGGAGTGCGTGGAGTTTTGAGCAATTCCCAGGACAAGATAAAAAAATCACACTCTGCATTTTCTTGCAGACCACCACAACCAAGGTTGGAGGGAGCAGGACTCAGACAGTGAAGGTGAGGTGCAGCCTCCTCCCTGGGCACTGTTCCTCTCTCTGCCATAGATCCCCACATAGCCCTGGATGTTTCTCTTGCAGTGATGGTGCAAGATTGGGTAACAACCAGACTGGGAAGCCCAGCAACAGAATCAACACTGGGTTATTTGTAATTCAGATCAGTGTTGTTATTACATCTGCATGGCCAAGGGAGGAAGAAGGTGGGTCCTCCTGCCAGCTCCACCAAAGAAGAAAACAAAACGTTCGTGAAACCCTGCCACTGGCCTTTGCTCTCCACCTCCCCATCCATCAAAGCACCAGTGCTTGGGCCACGGGGAGGAGATGGGAGGAACTGAATTAGCAGAGCACTGAAATAATGTCTGCAAGCAGAGACAGGTGTGAATGTGCTAAACACTCAAGCACTTTAAGCAGATGTGCTTTAAAACTTCCCGGACTCATTAGGCTAGGCAGTGAGGTGTGGAGAGCTGTTGCTTACCTCAAATAACCTAGCAAGTGCTCTTAGAGCACAAAATGTAACAGGACAAGATAGCTTTGAAACAGGATAAATGCACTTGGGTGTCTGGGAAACAAGTGAGAGCAAGAGGCAATATGAGATGACAAAGCCTGCAGACACTGAGATGGACAAGGAGACCTGACAGGGTGGCTGGCACAGCCAAAATGATACCATTTAGATGAGAAGCAGAGGGGCTCATTTTACATCTGAACCATTTCCAGTGTCATCAGTGACCATATAAAGAAGACAAACGGATGAATTATTTGATAGGAAAAAGAATGAAAGACAAAAGGTGAAATAATTCAGGGCATCTGCTGGGAACTGATCCTCAGAACAAACTCAACAACTCCTGGCTCGAAACTGCTGGTTCTTGAGATTACAGACTGCAGTGCTCAGGAAGAATTTAAAATATCCAGATGTCTGCTGTGTGGCCCACCCAGGCACACCTGTATCAAAGGAAATCCTTGCGATAGAGAAGGAACAAGCAAGATTTCCACCATGAAAATTCACCCGGCAGGAAAAACTATCCCGGATCTCCCCTTTGCTAGCAGGGAGAGAGTCTGGCTGAAAATAAGAAAAACAGTGAGAAATTGGTAGCAGGGATGAAAAACTTGGAGCGCCCTTTTTTTGCAGTGGTGGGATAGGTTTTCCATATGTCAGAGTACACGCAGTAACGCCACGTTCCAGGGCGGCAGGTTGCAAAAGCAGAGAAACCCTGTCGTCGTTTAAATTGATGGCCCCATTCCCATAGCCTGAAACCCTGGCCCATTTTAAAGTCAAAGTGATCATGGTGTAATGGAAGGCGGCATTAAAATCTGAGCTCTGTGCACAAATGGAGAAAGCACCTGGAAACAGAAATCCCCCTGAGGAAGCAGTCCTGACCAGACTGAGGCCCAAAAAACATTAATCCTCTGTAAAACAGTAAGGAACAAGGAGTATCCAAGTCTGGTTTCTCATGGGGGTTTCTAAAGGGAACAAGAAAATCAGAGGTGTGTTTACCGCAGAAGGAGGGTTTGCATCCTGCTCTGGGGATGTGCTGTGATAAAGCTTCACAGCAATGGAAAACACACAGTTCATCCGGGAAGAAGAATGGCCAGTAAAGGCTGTGGCGTGAAATGAAGTTTGATTGAGACATTTCGAAGTAGACCATTTAGTGGAAGAGCAAGAGCCAATGCCTACCCAGTTCTCATGGGCTTGCATTCCTAACTCCCCCTTGGCCCTTCCCATTCAGTAGGTCCCTTACAGTTCTGATACTCAATGGCTCTCACTAAACGAAAACCTTTACAATTCAGGGGTGTTTTATTGAGAAGATTCCTAATTACAGCATGGTACCTCTTTGAGGCTCCACAGGGAATGAAGCCAAAGACTGAAACGTGATCAGTAGTAACTGCTGAAAACTTTGAGACTGCTAGCACTGGGAGCCAGCGCTCAATGCATCACATCTGAAACAATCAGATAAATAGATCAGATCAAAATGTATGTGGAAAAATACTACGACTGCCAAGCTTTTGAATTCAATAACCTATTCTGCTGAAAGCCTTCCAAGGGAATTTAATAACGCCGTAAAAATGAAGTGTGGGTTACAAAAAGATGCATTTGTTTTCTGGATAGTTTTGTCTTATCTCTTCGTATGGCCAGGCAACAACAACCAGCCATTCTACAAGCAATAGTTATTAGTTTTCATCTCTACCACTAATGCAACTTTCTTTTATCAGAACTTAATTTACAGGAAATTCTTTCTGACATAAAATAGAGCCACAGGTTCTGATGGTCAAAATTAACATGATAATCATGGCTTCTGAATTTGAATGTAACAGGGGAAATGGGAAATAACCTAGGCTGATCACATTTCCTGATAAGGTGACTCAAAAACAGAAAAAACCCACCATAAATCAAGAACAGAATTCCCACCGGTGTCCCACATGCCTGAGACTGAAAGGCAGGAAAGCAGCTCAAAGACACACATCTTCCCAGATCCTTTCCATTAGACATTTAAAACCAAAACTCTGGTCCAACATAACACCCCATTTCTTTACCTTCTCCAAGTCTGAAAACAAAGTGATTCCCATCTGGAACATCAGAAGTCCTACCCCCCCACACCTAGCAGGAAGTATACAGGGTGGGTGCAAGATATGAGAGGTGAAATCCCAGTTGAGGGGATCTCATCTTATCTGTGATTTCTTATGTGTGAAAACACAGTTCACGGCTCTGCCTGAGCAAGAGCATCCACCCAAGGCTCGAGGTGTGCAGAGGAGCAAGGAAAGAGCAGAAACATTTCAAGGCACCAGCGAGGCAAATATTTCTGTTACCTGTATTGCTGTAGGACAGAGAAATCCCAGCTGTGGATCCGGGCCAGGCCTTGGAACAAAGCTGATCCTTGGAATAAATCTTTACTCCTGCTAAACACATGCATGCTTAACTTGATGCTTGTGATTAATCCACTGGCCTCAGGGATTTAAATCTGTGAGCACAAGCAGAAGTATTTGCAGAATTGTGCTCCATGAGAATGGAAATTTTCAAGCATGGCTGTTTGCAGCAAAAAGCTTTTGTTGTGACTGGTGCTGAGCTCCATACGAGTGTCTTGGTAAACAAACTTACCAATAAGTTTTACATCATCAGGCATGCTGGGCAAAACACTCCCTATTTGTGATGCAGCCACTGAACTGTGGGAAAGCAGCACTCTCCTCTAGAAGTGTATGCGACTTTACAAGTATCATTCTTGCTCACTTGTGTGGAAGAGAAAACAAGAGCAGAGTTTTAACATAATGCGAAGGATCTATTTCTAAAGGAAACTAGAACCATACTATTTATTTTGGGGGTTTAAATTTTGCCAGGCAAAGTGTTTTGAGTTACTCCAAGAGCAGGACATTTTTATTTATGGAATTCCCTTAATCCATTATAAAAATCCTCTAAGCTAAACCAGCTTCCAGGTATCCAAATCCCTCGGATAACACAACTCACTCCCAAGATGTTTATTTACCAAGAACCATTCCTCTAGGCCAAGCTTACCAGCCAGTATCTTCATCCCTGGGATAACGCTAAGTCCCCATCTGACAACCTTATTTCTCTTGGGGAATTACAAAGGCATGAATTTAGAAACACTTTCTGTTTTCACCACTTGCTCAAAGCAACTTTATCATCCCAAGCTTCTGAATGAAACAGTTATCAAGAGAATGTCACAAGAATAAACAAAAATGTTCCATCACCAAGGGGCATGCAGCTTTGCAGTGATCAGAGGAAAGGCTGCCAGAGGAAAGGATGCTGATCCCAGATCCAGCACTTTTTGCAAGAACTGTTGAACAGGTACTCACTGCTGCCAGGGTCAGGAGAGGAGTGGTGCGTGACCATCCCTGCACAGTCATCCTGCTCAGTGCCACAGAGGACATGCAGGCCAAACTGCTAGTTCAGTGGCTGGATGCATGGAAGAATCTGGCTTCAATTTTTTCCTTTCTTTTTTTTCTGTTACTTCATTCCAAAAGCAATGTATATGGAAGCGCAAACTTGGCTGGGGATTATTTATTTTTTGCTAGAAAAATACGGCATTTAGTAGAACTCCTGCTAACCCCTATCAGATGGTAAACAAGCAATTTAAGAGAGCTGGTGCAGATGGGAATTGCTGTCCAGGCACTGGCTAGATTACTCTGGAAATCAACATCTATTGTGAAATATTCTTGAAATCAGCCAGTATTGTCACCCAGTTATTCCAAGCATGATGCAGGTCTTCGACAGAAGGCTTTAAACAGTATCAACCCAAACATGCTTTTTATTTTACAAGACTTTTATTCTGTTTCACAGATTTGACTATTACAGCAGTGAAATTATTACAAGTGACTCATAACATTTAGTTCCAAATAAAAGTAGAAAAACACAAAAACGATAAAGGAAAGTTAAATGAGATGTGATGTGTGGTAAATGTCTTTTAAGAGCACAGAAAAAGTATATAAAAATACATTAGGATCAAGAATTTTGCAGACAGGTTTTGATTTAGTTACAATTTTGACACCACAGAATTACAGAATCACAGAATGGTTGAGCCTGGCAGGGACCTTTGGGGTCCATCTGGTCCAACCCCCCCTGCTCAAGCAGGGCCACCCAGAGCCAGTTGCCCAGGACTGTGTCTGGGTGGCTTTTAAATGTCTCCAAGGATGGAGACTCCACTGCCTCCCTGGGCAACCTGTGATGTGCTCGGTCACCCTTTGAGTAAAAAAGTGTTTCCTCATGTTCAGAGGGACCCTTCTGTGTTTCAGTTTGTGCCCACTGCCTCTGGCCCTGTCACTGGGCACCACTGGAAAGAGCCTGGCTCTGTCCTCTTTGCACCATCCCTTCAAGTGTTTATATATATTAATGAGATCCCGCCGAGCCTTCTCTTCTCCAGGCTAAACAGTCCTAGCTCTCTCAGCCTTTCCTCATAGGAGAGATGTTCCAGTCCCTTCCTGATCTTTGTGGTGCTTCATTGGCTTCTCCAGCACGTCCATGCCTCTTGTACTGAGAAGCCCAGTACGTCCATGCCTCTCGTACTGAGGAGCCCAGCACTGGACACAACACTCCAGGTGTGGCCTCACCAGTGCTGAGGAGAGGGGAAGGATGTCCTCCCTCACACTCCTGGCAATACTTTGTCTAATGCAGCCCAGGACACCATCAGCTGCCCTTGCAGCAAGGGCCTGTCACTGGCTCATGGTCAATTTGGTGTCCACAGGACCCCGAGGTCCTTTTATGCCAAGCTGCTTTCCAGCCAGGTGCCTCAGCATATATTGGTGCACGGGGTTGTTCCTTCCCAGGTGCAGGACTTTGCACTTCTGCTTACTGAACTTCATCAGGTTTTTATCAGCCCTCTTCCCCAGCCTGGCAAGGTCCCTCTGGATGGCAGCATGACCCTCTGGTGTATCAGCCACCCCTCCTAGCTTTGTGTCATCAGCAAACTCGCTGAGGGCACACACTGCCCCATCATCTACATCATTAATGAAGATGTTAAACAGGACTGGACTCAGTATTGACCCCTGGGGTACTCTGCTAGTTACTGGCCTCTAACTAGACTTCGTGCCACAGATCACCACCTCTATGCCCAACCATTCAGCCAGTTTTCAACCCACCTCTCTGTCTGCTCATCCACTTCATACACCAACAACTTGTGTATGATGATCTGCTTTACCAGTGTCAAAGGCTGTCCTGAAGTCCAGGTAGACAATATCTGCTGCTCTCCCTGCATCTACCAAGCCAGTCATTTCATTGTAGAAGTTTATCAAGTTGGTCAAGCATGACATCCCCTTGGTGAAGCCATGCTGGCTACTCCTGAAGAATTTTTTGTTGTTCGTGTGCCTGGAAATGGTTTCCAGGATTAGCTGCTCCATCACCTTCCCAGGGACTGGGGTGAGGCTGATGAGCCTATAGTTCCCTGGGTCCTCCTTCTGGAAGATAGGAGTGACATTTGCTTTACTCCAGTCTTTGGGCACTTCTCCCAGTCACCATAATTGATCAAAGATTATTGAGAGTGGCCTTGCAATGACACCTGCCAGCTCCCTCAGCACTTGTGGGTGCATCCCCTTCAAGGCCCATGGACTCATGTATGTCCAGTTTGCTTAAGTATTCCCTGACCTGATCCCCTTCCACTAAGGGTATGTCTTCCTTGCTCCATCCTTTCCCCCTGGTCTGTGGAAGCTGGGATTTCTGAAGGCTGGTCTTGCTAGTAAAAACGAAGGCAAAAATGACATCTGGTATTTCAACCTTTTCCATGCCCTGTGTAACCAGGCCCCCTGTCTTGTTGAGCAGTGGGCCCACATTTTCCCAGGCTTCCTTTTGTCAGCTATGTTCTTATAGAAGCCCTTCTTGTTGTCTTTGACATACCTGGATGAACTCAATACCATTTGGGCTTTAGCTTGCTTAAGGTAAGCCCTGGATGCTCAGACAATGTTTCTCTAGTCCTCCCAGGTTAGCCATCCTTGCTTCCACACTCTCTATGCTTCCTTTCCGTGTTTGAGTTTGGCTAGGAGTTCTTTGTTCATCCACACAGGCCTCCTGGCATTTTTGCCTGACTTCCTGCTCATTGGAATGGAACTCTTCTGAGCTTGGAGGACACAATTCTTGAATATTAACTGGCTTTCTCAGGTCCCTCTTCCCTCCAGTGTCTTATTCCACAGGACTCTCCCAAAAGAACTCTGAGGAGGCCAAAGTCTGCTGTCTTGAAGTCCAGGGTTGTGAACTTGCTTTTCACCCTTAGGATCCTGAACTCCACCATCCCCTGGTCACTGCAGCCAAAGCTGCCTTGGGTCTTCACATCCCCAGTGAGCCCCTGCTTGTTGGTGAGCATGAGGTCCAGCAGACCACCTCTGTTTGTTGGCTCCTCTGTCACTTGGAGGAGGAAGTTATCATCAATCCACTCAAGGAACCTCCTGCATTGCTTATGTCCTGCTGTGTCGACCCTCCAGCAGATGTCAGGGTGGTTGAAGTCTCCCATGAGGACCAGGGCCTGCAAATTCAAACCTGAATTGGGCCTATCTATCTGTAGAAGGCCTGATTCTCTTGTTCTTCCTGGTCAGGTGGCCTACAGCAGACACTCACTATAATGTCACCTTTATCTGTCTTCTCTTTAATCGTAAGGCATAAGCTCTCAGTCAGCTCCTCATCCATCCCCAGGCAGAGCTCCATGCTGCTCTCTCACATAAAGGGCAACTCCCCTTCCTTGTTCTCCTATCCTGTCCTTCCTAAAGAGCCTAGAAAGCCTACCACCTAGAAAGCACAGTATATTGAAAATCACTAATTAGAAAGGTGATAAATCCAAGAGTATATAAAAGGCAAAAATGAAACAGAAAAATGAAAGGAGGATGTGTGTGTGTGTGTATGCGTGTGTTTGTGTGTGTGTGAAGTCTATTTTATGGCAAACTTCCAGTCCTTTGGCCACTATAAAGCAAAGTCAGTGGATTTCATATAAATTCTCTGTATAAAGGAATGTCTATGAACTGTGTACAATATGGCCCAGAATAAACATCTCGTTATCAGGCTAATAGAGCTCCTCACAGAGGAAAAGAAGGTGCTTACATCATGGTTTCATCTTCCCAATATAATACTGTCCGGAATTGGACTAGTGCCCCAAAATACCATTTTAGGAACAACGCGAATTCCTTTAATGGAAAGGAAATGCAGTAACCCGTCAATGCTGCAGAAGCAGGGTGCTGGGCAATGGCCTCACTACTGCACGCTTGCTTTAAAGTTCGTGTGGTTGACTGGCAGGGGGTGAGCCTCTGTGTTGAACACCCAGTCGTCCAGGGACAGCACGTCATCTTCACAGAACAGAAGATAGAGGTACCTAGAGCCATGAGGCAAGGGTGGGCGGGAAGAAGATGGACACAAAGGGAGATTAAAGGAAACTCAAGTGGGACTCCAGGCACGCAGAAGCAAGCACTGTCAGCAGGACTGTGACGGGGGCTGCCATTGGCCTCAGCTGCCATGGTTTATGGTGACGCGTTTCCTGACTCCCTGCCCGACTCTCCTGCTGAAAACTACCAGCCTCGGTGCAAAGGTGGCAAAACAGGAATGGCATCTGCACTCTGCCAGCCCACAAACATTAGCTCATGCTACCAGCAAAGGCAGATCTGCACCAAGGGCCAGCAAGTTCAGGCCATAGTCATGCCTCTCCTGTATGCAGGACGTTAACCTGGTAGAGAAGACAGCTGTCTCTTAAACCATCACAGCTAAATTCAAGGGAGCCCAGCAGTCACAGTCTCCCACTTAGAGCAGCTCTGAACCACAGGAAGAGTCCTTTAAATCCAGCAAATGATCAGAAACCTCAAGGGTGCCAATGACAGCGGTGGTTCTACAGGAGGAAGCTACCAAAGCTTTGCAGCACCCATAGCCTTGCCCAGTTTTCCCCACAGAGGATAAGACTTCCCCCTTATTATTAGAGATTTATTAAGCAGACAAGAGTGTTGATCTGCAGGAATTATGCTACTCTGAAAGGCCCCTGTGATACTAGACTTACTTCAGAGTCTCTGCGAGGAAAAAACTCTGTTGCATGTTGTCATGGGTTGGAGTTGTGGTGTAAACATCTCGGATGCCAGAAAAACCAGCTTCTACTCTACAGTGTTTTTCCAGGGCCTGAGAAAGGAAAAAAATATTAGTAACACACAATAGCATGAAGTAACTTATTAATCATCATCAGTTACACTACAAGTCAGCTTTACAAAACAAATTCCAGGTTTACAGTAGCCTCTGCCTCTCACTGAAGAGCGTGGTGATTACTCTAGACTCTGGGAATAAAGCTAGTTCTAATGAAATAGCAAGAGAAACATAAACCACCTAAGTTAGTTGATTGATTGACCTTGACGTTACACGCACAGCAAAACCAGATCTCAAGTGGCAACTCTAGCAGTTTGCATAGCTTCTTTTCTAGGGTAGCTAACAAATGTCAGTTCTTCCACTGAAACGCAGCCCCTGCCAGGGTGTGTGGCAACAACCAACGGGCTCTTGCGTGAGCGAGAAAGAGGTGAGGGACCTTCTGGCTGGGAGGTCTTTGTGGGAAGAAGACAAGACAAAGGGCAAAGGCAGGTTTGCTGATTTTCCCTGGCCCACTACAAACCAGTGGTTCTGAGCAGTCCAGATATTTCAAATAGAAGGTTGACTCCTTTTTGCAGAGGGCTGTTACACTAAGAGCAGGTTTCGCTGTCTGCAGCACTCCTCTCCATAAACCTCCACTGCTTTGTCTGAGTGAGTGATTTTAGTGTAGCCCAAAAGGGAGAAGAAAACATTCACAATGACTGAGACGCCACACTAAATTGAGCTATTTTGTGTGTTCCTGTTCCATTGCTAATGTGTCTTTGTGTCTAACACTATTTAAATAATTTCTGCTCTTTTTACTGACCAAAAGAAAGATTTTTGTAAGAGTCCAGCAGCCTGTAGGAGTTATTGCTGCGTATTTTCCAACCATACCTTCACAACCTCCCAGCCCCACTGCCTGTACTTGGGATCGTGTGTCAGCCGCCACATGTACATGTAGCTTTCTACCACTTCTGGCCGTAGGATGTAGTAGCGCTCGCTGAGTCTGGTTGCCATGGCTTCAGTTCCAGCATCAAAGCGAAAGGCTTCGGGACCAAGTTTGGTATCTAGACAAAATCACACACAGGCAATGATCAGTTTGAGGAGAAAGCAGGTAAACTGACTGTCCAGGTGCTTTTACGCTACTCAGGCTGCCAACATTTAACTAAGGCTTGCGTGAGGTCAGATGAGCAGACCAGTCATGCTCGTGTATCAGATCAACCTCACAGCTGATGTCAAAACAGGGGCAACCCCACCGAGTGCAGGAGCTGTGCTCACAGCCACTCCGGGTGTTGCTCATTCAGTGGTGTTTCTCGGTACTATCTAAGGGAGGATAAAGCGTTTCTGAGGGTGGATACAACTGACAAAACACAGACTTGGACCAGATTTGAGCATGGAGAGAGAGCAGGTATAAATCTCCCCCATGTCCTAGCATTTTTGCTGGGCTGGTATTTGCTCCTAGGAATTGCACCGCCCGACCCTGAGCGCAAAGTTCGTCATTGAGGACAAACTCAGAACCCAGACGAGAAAGAACACAGGCAGATCCTGTCGTAAAGCCTCAAAGAGAAAACACACTGAAAGGAAAACCTAGCCATGCAGCTGGCCCTGCCATCACAGAGATGTTGGTACACTGCTCCCAGGCAGGGGGTTTGTTTCACAATTATCAGTTCACCAGACTGAGCCATTTCGCCTGCACTGCGGCAGGGAGGCTGTAATAAGTGGTACCTGGGACCTGCAATCCCTTCTGCCTTTCCTTCTGGTCCACTAGCAGGCTCTCTGAAAAGAAGACATCAGGGTGATGGGGAAGGCTTAATCAATTTCACTGGTATTTTATAAATAAAACATTAAGAGTCTTTTTGAGTGTCCCTTACATAACCTCAATCTCTCACAAGCATTAGCTAGCACTCAGATCCCTACTTTCAAGATCAATCCTCTCCCTATTTGAAAAACAGGGAAACTGAGCATAAAGGTTGCTTATGATCATGCCGCAAGGTTTCTCTTGCTGCACCTACGTGTCTACCACAAGGCTGTGTTTCAGGGAGTCATTTTATTTCTCTAAGTATTTTTCCCACCTTCCCTGGGCCCTCCTGTCTACGTGGAGATCTAACAGTGTTCGCTAGTTGGACTATTTGCTGAGAGCCAGGGTGACATGCAGAAACATTCTCTGCAAAACAATGAGCTTGCTGAAATGACAGCACTGTAACTAGTGTGGGCAGGCTTGCTACTGTCCTTTCTATGCTGATGGATATTGCTGAAGGTGAAAATTGGCTCCAGGCACTCACAACCAGAGGGTTATTAGTTCAGGTGGCTTCTTTTAGCTCTGTAAGTGCTGGGGGGAAAAAAAACCCAGTTATTTGCAAACATCATTTCAGGTTAGCTTGAAGTTTATTGGGCAAACGTGCTGGACACCAGCTGCCAATATGGTCTTGCTAATGTGATGACGGTGTGAAACAATCTTTGGGAACAGTTAGTGCAGACAGACCTGTGCTTGACAAGGTCCTGGAAAGCAGACTGCTGCTTCGCTGCCTGCAGTCTCAGAAGAGCTGCAGAGTTGCCTACAAAGAAAGGAGAGGTGTCCAAACCAAGCTCATCTTGCTGAAAGCCCTGCAGGCAGAGAATAACCCAGTCTCTCATTCATCACCACTCACTGCTCTCCCAAAGCACAGACTGATAAGCACAGTGGGTGGTGGAAACAAATTTTACTGGACTTGTGAAATAGGAAGACTTAGCCAGCCTCCGCTTAGACAGCCAGAAGAGGCTGAGTAATTTCATTTTTTTGGTTTCTACCAGCAGCTGCAGGTCTCCAACACTCTCCTGTTGGGCTTCTCAACTGTTCTGCTCCATATAGTGGGACACCCTCCAATTAATTTGTCTTGCCTGCAAAGGGATGTGAAAGGACAGACTCAAACTATAGTCTTGTTGGTAGAAGGGTAGTTCTGTGACTGGGAGGTGGGACTAGGAATCAGCTCTGGGATCATTTCCCAGCTCTGCCCTGGGAGCTGCCACCTGCCTGTCCCTCTGCTCCAGCTGCTCGCTATGTAAAATGTACTGCTTTCTCTTCTAGACCTCCCAGAAAAGACAAGTAAAAACCATACACAGGGATGCAGATGCTGCTGAAGCACAAAATACCCTACTGCAAACCTCTGCTACACAAAAGCTGAGTCTCCTGAGGCTGTAGGCAATCCTTTACTAACATTTTCTAGGCAGCCCACAGGTTTACCTGAGCGTGCATAAGACTCGTGACATGTGTTTGTTATTTCTGCAGCGAGATCCATGTAATGTTGCTTCCTCTCCTCTCCAGCATGTTCAGCTCCAAGTGCTATCATGCCCCCAGAGAAACAAGCCAAGTGGCCCATTTTGTGATCCAAGATGCCACCCCTCCATTCAGCAATGTAGGTCAATCCTCCAGCAGACTTTTTGACCAAATGCTTTTCTATTGCCTAAAGGGATGAAAATCAGGATTTCAGGATGCTTAGTGGTCAGTAAGTATTACTAGTAGACAGGAGTGAATACCAAAGAAACCCAAAGATCTAAGACATTTTTGTCTGAAACATTCTGATGAGCAATGTCCCCCACAAAAAATACAGAGCAGCAACCTGCTCCTTACCTCTAGTGCATCGTCGTACATCTTTTTAGCTTCAGTGTCTTTCTTGTCTGACATCAGCCAAGATTTGATGAGATATTCATAAAAGCTGTCCCCAAGCCCCCCAATGGAGACATGGTCTGTAGTGGGAAAGCCAGAAAAGGACTTCAGGTTCATGACATACAATGAGCAGTTGCTTTACAAAGAGCAAACAGCCATGTCCTATTTAATGCCCTTGTTCTCTCCTTCCTCTTTCCAGTTTCCTGGGGAGAGCTTGCAGCATTTCTTTTTCAAAAAGGAAGAAAGGTGGAAAGTGCAATCAGAAGAAAAATGTTCTGTCATTTTACAAAGCATTAGTATCCCTTACCAAAACTATTCAGAGGTCTTATTTTGCAACAGTTATTTATACTGCAACTTGAAGATGCTTCCTGTTTATGAAGCAATCACCATAAATCCCAGCCTCGTAAACCAAAAGCAATGGCAGGTATCGATAGATCTCCACCTATATGAAACCACTGGGTGCTGCCTGCTTGCCTCAGGAAAGGGAGAATGCATGTTGGATCACACAGAGCTGCCAGCAAGGGGCTGCTGTAGGGACCTCTCCGTCATGCCATTTGTATTCTTGGCCCATGGTGGGACTCTGTGCCCTAGGGAAGGCTGGGGTTGTTGGTGTATTAAAATTATAAAGTCAGGTACAAGGATGCACACTGAATATTTTCTTCTGCAGAAATCAGATTCTCAAGGCTGTCTGTTCAGAGTACACTATGCTATGACCTTACTGGAGAGGGGGATGCTAAGGAATTGCACTGTGAAATGGGCATGACAGCTGCAGGTTTCTGCCTGGGGGGAACTGCTGGATGGATTTATATCTTTAAATTATACCACAGGGGGAAAAGCAGCATTCATTCTTTCAAGCAGCAAAGTACTTCCCTTTTTTAGAAGAGCAAGACAAATTACCCACCATGGACTGAACCATCCCTGTTAATTAACAGTGTCCACCTCTGTGTCTGCACATATCCTCATTTGAAATGTAAGCAGATGCAGCAGGGTTTTTGGAGTTAGCTGTTCAGATTTTTATTTTCCCTTTCACTGTACATATATAAAGTCCTGAGGCTTATTCTAAATACTAAATCCTACCACCAGAAGAGATCAACGGCCATGCATTTTCCTGACCTGAAGAGCAAATATCCCTGATAGTGTGTGTCCAATGATCCATGGAATAATCCATAGCAAAACAATGAGATTAGACGCATGAATTCAGAAAAAAAAAAAAAAAAACCGAGGACAGACTATTTGCAAACACCGGCTGCACAGCCTGTCTTTAAAGAGAAGCTCTGTGATCCTAAGTGTGTCATTCATAAAATCACCAAAGCAGGAGCTCTGGTACATAATTGCTTTCCATATGGCATCAGCTTTGCCAGCATTTGCCTCCTAGGCACTTTGCATAAACAAACCTCTTATTTCAGCAGGGGACCATGCTTTAATTTTCTAAAGGTAACAACTGCACTCAGAAGAGGTACAGCACTGCCTCTTCATTTAGAAGATCTGCTCATTCAGACAGGTCAAAGATACACCTTTTAAGAAAATCACAGCAATTCCAAGAAAAACAGCTTCCCACAAAGAGCTTTAATGACAAGAGAGAAAATGAGAGCCTGGCACCTACAGGGAGCATCTCTGTGGCAGGCTGCAGCTGCCTCCCTACTTTGGTCCTAAGCTATTTCTCACCAGCACTACTGGGGATGCAGAAGAGGCTGATCAGCCTTTTCCCTCACTGGAATATGGATTCAGACCACAAGGTCATATTATGAGCAACTGCCACAAACAGCCTGTGCCATGAGTTGCCCTTGTGATGTGAAAGTCTAGGAAAGAGGTTATCTCTAGCCCTTTTGCATAAATCAGCCTATCCCAGAGCAAGTAATCAGAGGCTACTTTTAATAAGCTCCAAGAACCAGCAACGGGCTCCTCTGTATGTCAGCAAGGGGTGGGAGCAGGTCAGTACAATGAAGTCAAATTTGCAGACATAAATAGAATTAAATTAGTGGCAGAAGAGATGAATACTGAGTATCAAGCTGAGTATTTTAACCATCTGAATTAAGAGCACAGCTCTTCAGTTTCCCAAAGATTCTGTAATGATCAATTATTGCAACAGACAGGCACTACTTCCCCTCTCAGCACCAATGAACAGGCAGAACTAATGCTTGTGTCTGGTAAAATGTGCAGTATGGGTGCCAGCTGGGAATAACCTAAAGAAAACGGCATCTCAGGGGTGTGTTAGGATGGGAGATTAGCTTCTCAAGTGGAACATATTGCAACAACTCTGCAGAGACAAACGTGGAGGGGAAGCTGAGCTGCTTACAAAGGGATTGGACAACGTGGAAGATCAATTAACGGGGCAAACATAGAAGCCTATTTTCTTTCCTCATGGCACCAAAGGACAGCTCCGGTTTAATAGGATAAGCGCAACCATCCAAGATGCTTTGTTGGGACACTTTTCAAGCCAAGCCCTGCCAATCACCATTAGAGGTGCTGATATGGCAGTGAAAGGTCAGGGATTGCTCACAGCTAGAGCTCTCTCACTGTCTCAGATGATGGCAGCCATGCAACTGCCTACCAGTTACAATCAGAGCTATTAATGCAGCAGTTAGGTCAGTCTGGAGCCATCTAGCAGAGCAAACAGTGCAACGAGACATAGGGACACAAGGTAATGCAATGACTCATAGAAAACTGCTTAAACAATATAGAAGTAATCCAGTGCTAGGTTAAAAACAGCCTCTGCAAAAAGTGACTTTTCTTTCCTCTGCCAGAGGAACACGAAATCCAGCAACTCTCCCTTGCCAAAACAAGCAAATCCTTAACAGTGGAAAGTTAAGGTCAGAGATCTGGGGCACAGCAGCAGAAGTAGCCTCTCATGTTCCTACCAGAGGGTTCTGCCCTTTGGTGGCACCAAAAGAGGGGCACAGTCTCTCCTCTGGGTAAGGAAGGGGCTGTTTGCGTAGAGCAGGAAAGTAAATAATCTTTCCCTGGGTATACTGCTTCTAATATTTCCTTGCTCTTTTCAAGCCCTTTCCTGGTTCTTGCTCCTCCTTCACATCAGAGCAGTATCTAATGCCCATGTCTGCAGAAAAGAGCACATACTTGTCTCACCCTTCTTGCACAAAATTGCACTATGCTGAGGCACCGTGGCAGCAGGTACACGAATGCACACAAGAGAATGCATCCCTAGATCCTAGGGGGATCTGAGATTCTGTAAGCCCTCTGCCTCTCCAGGTGGTTCCTTACTTGCTGCAGCACACTCAGGAAGTAAATCTCATCGCGCTTCTGCTCACAGCCTTCACGTCCAACTCCCAGGTAGGTCTGTGGGCTTATGTGATGACTGCAGGATGAGGTCTTAAAGAGATGTGCTGATTTCTAATATCTGTGTGATGAACCATGTACCATTATCCTCCCCCGTGCAAGAGAGGCCCTAATTCTCTCTGGAGGTGAGACACTCAGCTGGAAACAAGGCTGATGGAGTAAGTGTACATTACTATATTGCATCTTACAAACCGGGTTGCATTATCTAATCACATGTATAACAGGCTGCCTGACAAGACATTTCCTTGGCTTACTGCTCTGACAGTTGCTATTGCTTCCTAAAGAATAATGCAAAGACTGAAATGCTCCAGGCAGGACTCTGAATGCAGAGTGATACCTACGCTGCACCCAGTTCCCTGTCACCGGGCTGAGAAAGTTGGGATAAAGGCCCTGCGGCTTCTCAACTCTGTTCAGGACTTTCCGGATGTTCATCACCTAGGAAAGATGAGAGACAAGAAGTATGTTACTCCTCTGCTGAAAAAGCCGACAGTTTTGCACTGTCGCTGAGCACTGTGTAATTCATCAGTGCTGATTCCTGGCTGAACAAGCACAGCAGCCAGTAAGTTGTGAATCATCATCCAAGCAGAACCTGATGACATGGCTCTCTGCTGAGAGGGTTGTGATGGAGAAACTTTCGGGCTGGAATCCTTAGCACAATCTTATTCAGCTCTGTGGGATTTTTGAAATGATTCTAAAAACCCTGCAAGGCCCCAGTTCAGCAAGCAGTGGAAGCAGTTTGCTAACAGTGGTCCAGAAGCAATCCTGAGGATTTGGGATCTGGGTGGAAACGTATGAGATGCGGAGGGTGTTTTTTTCCATGATCCAAAGGGAAAGGAGTGGCAGGGATAAGTGACTCACAGTACTTAAATTCACCATGTGGTCACTTAACATGATGAATTGGGGCCTTTAATTTCAACAACAGACAGCTCCTTTAATATGCTAGAACAGCCATACTTACTCTCTAAAACCTCCCTTGGTTTCACCCCCATTAAATCCAACAGGCCTTTCCCATAAGGGACAAAGTTAAATGGTATGCAGCATAAATATTCTATTATAACCTACAGAGCAGCTAATACACTCTAAACCTTTTATAAAATTAGACAATTTGTACGCCAAAAGCTGGCTACAGACTTAAGTTGGTGCTTCCAAGTAAGTCGTCAGGCTGCATAATATTTACTGAAGTTTAGTAGCATGGCATATTAATGACATGTTTGAATAAAAGACACAGATGGACTTTATTCTTGCTAAAATCACACAAGTCCCAAACTGCAAGTTAATGAGTTGATCTGCTCCTCTGAAGTAATTTCCCACAGGATGGGCTGTTTGAGCCCACATCATCCTACATTTTTTCTCTCAGAGGGTGTTAGAATGAATGTGATACATTTTCTGTGGCACACATCAGGCACGCTCAGCTCAGGAGAATCCATTAGAAAGGTTCTGCCCTTATCCCTCTATGGGCTTAGAAGGCAAAGAGGAAAATGTGTTAGGCTGGGGACAGCGGCTTGACCCTGCCTCAAAACGCCACAGTTTGAACCTGGAATATAGATGCAATTCTAGTTTTTAACAGTGCATCTTTTTTCCCTTGTGTTTTCCATGCTCATCTCTTCCCTCTCCCTCCCCCCCCCCCCCCATTTCCCTTGCACACATTTAGTTTCCATACCACTGTTCCCTTTATTAGTCTTTTTCTCAGCTCCTCCCTTCTTCTGAGCAATTTGTCATTATCACTGTCCTCAGGAATCTTTAGCTTGTCTCCTTTATTTCAAATCACTAGTCTTCCTTTATCTTCCTTACAGTTTCCTGGGTTTCTAATTTTCCTTCACCCTCTGGTTTTCTCTCTTGCTCACCCCTCTGTGACATTCCCCTTGCTCACCCCACCCTTATTGCTTTTCATACACTCCATCCTATTTTCTGTTTTGCTCTCCTAGCTTCTTTCTTCTCTTTCTTCCTGTCTCTTCTTCAGATTATCTGATTCTTTCACAACTGACAGACCTGAACTGGAAATATCCTGGAAACGTACCATTTGGAGCTTTTTATTGGCAATTCTAGAACCACTGTCTGTTTTCACCCCACTGTGGGACTCTGGACAGGCCCCATTTCCTTTGGGCTCATGTGGGCAGTTTGGATTCTAACTGGAACAATTTGTCTCCCTCAAAGCTAGTTCCTCAGGGACGTGCAGAGAAAGCTAATGACTTGCTGGTATCCAACAGCATATTTATTAAGTTGCTCTCACATGCACTATAAGATCACTTGTGGAAAAAAAAAGCTCAAGGTAATGTATAATATTAATAGATTTTCAGTTACAAGTTACACAAAAAGAATCCAATATGTCAACTGTCAGGCCTGTCCTACACAAGAAACCTCAGCAGAAATCTTGCTGGCTGGAACATAACATTTAATGCCTGTTTAGAGTAAAAAGGTCTGCAAGTACAAGGCACTACTATTAGGATATCAGAATTACCAATTATCTTTGCAGTCTTCATCCAACAGATGGTTTAATTTTAGCTGTGTCTTTGTTTGAGGTAAGTTTTTGCTACAACTTCACCTGACTGAGACATTGGGAAAAACATCCCCACCTCCCCGGTGGCTGCAAGTGAGGGAGGGGCAGGTGAAGGGGCTAAAGAAAACACTGGGGGAGTGCCCTCCAAGGGCTATTGGTGTGATGGGATCTCCAACAGGAGCTCGCTCTGAGCTTTTCAGTAAGCTGGTATGTGGAAGGCTCTGAGGCCTGGTGACCTCTGCAGCCTGCAAGGCACAGGTTTCTGATCTCTGGAAGGTTTCTCTGGTGAGTTGGCCTGGTATTGGGGAGAAGGAACACTTTGCTGCTATGCTGTCTGCTGCAGGCAGAGCACAGTGCTGCTCTGCTCCAGCACTGACCCCGGGAGTATGAAGAGACCAATTCACTAAAGACCAAGTTGGGAAGTACTTGCCTTTTCTGCAAACACCGGGTTGCCAGAGAGCTCCGAGAGGTGCAGGAATTCTAAGTGCAAGGTACCAAATTCTGCTAAGATGCTGCTTCCGGCAGATGCCCAGCCCCAACTCCAACTCATGCCACTGCAAGGAGAGAAAAGGGAGCCTTCATTGCCAGGAAAACACAGCCAAAGCCTGAGGTCGCCCACTGCCCCAGTGCAGATCCTGCCTTTGCCATGTGCACGCCGTGCATACCAGGTCTCAACAGGGGCCATGTAAAGGACATACATAGATTTTTAGGACTCTCACAGGAGCAGTTCTAGTGGGATGGAGCAATAGTTTTACAAAAGATTGTTTAGAATAGGGCAAACACACAGACTGCACATGCCAAGAAACTGCAGTTTTTGTGGAAGAGTAATCCCTCCCAAACAGACCAGCTTATAGCAGACTTTGGAAGAACACTGACAACCTGCCCTACACAAGTCACTTTGGGATAAAACATGCCTGTAAGTAGCCTGGGCTGGACTCTTGCGCACAAGTCTGACAAGTCTGCTATTTTATGGAGAATCCAGACTGTCCTTAAGTACCTTGTTTCAACAAGGTCTCATACTCTTGACTGCCATTCCCAGCATATGCTTGCTTGCAAGGGGAAACAGCAACATCAACACTAGCGGAAAGATGCCATTGGGTGAACCTGACTGTAATGAAAAGCCACAGAGAATTTTAACATCTGCACAGGACAAATCTGACCCTGAAAGCACCCCACTGGTGCTCATCTCACGTGCCCTGAAAGAACAGGAGGGCCAGCATAAAACTACAAGAAGTGGCAAACACTGTCTGAAGCAGCCAGTTATACAAAGTGCCTCCGCCCCTACTTTTGATGTACTGGGATCCCTTCTCAGATTCTCTTTGCCGCCCCTCACCCTGCCAAATCCATGCAAAGAGATAAACTGGCAGTGAAGCAAAGCAAGGAGTCGATTCTGGGCACGAGGAGGGCATCACTTCTTGGATTTGCTTTTACATTCGACCACTTCTTGCTTGTACCCCACTGCTACAGATTACAGCTCCACACTTCTCTGAAATCCACACAGACACGAAAATGTCCTGTATCCTTAAGCCTTGGTCCCCAAACAGCCTCTGCAGGTGCTGGCCCAAGGAAGCTTGGCTGAGCCATCTCAGAAGTGACGTGGCTTGGATTTTCACATCTCTCTGCGAGCGCTGTTTGAGGTCGATACTGGTGAGGGAACAGGTTTCCAGGGATGGGGGGGCGGGGGTAACACTAGATGGCGCCTGGGAGCTTGGCTAGTAGAAGAAAAGGGTTTCTGTTGTTTACAGGAGGCTAAAACTAACGATCTTTCTGAGAGGGGGAAAAAAAAAAGTTTCCCCTCCCTGTGATATACAGAAAACCATTTCAGGTCCAGAGCTGTTTGTTTCGCCTCCAGACAAAAAGAGCCATTAGATAAGCAATATGTTCACGCCGTTTCAAATTGCTCAGTCACTGCCAAACGTCAGCCTTCCCTGCAAACTGTCAGGAGGTTGTATCACCAGATTTTCATTTGAAAACACTGTATGCAGCTAAAATGGGTACCCCAATAACATCGAGTGTTTATGGCAGAGATTTCCCTCAGCAGGCAGAAAGGTCCTCCAGTGTGACCAGGTTAATGTTGGTATTAATACTGCATTGGACATATCTGCTGAACCTGGTAGCAGCTGGCCCTGGGATGGGTGTGCTAAACAATCCCATGGTGTTCTCGTATCTATAAAGAGTCAATTACTTTTTCTTTATTTACTGCACTGAAGGGACGTTGTAACAAATACGATCTCACAAACAGAAACTGCTTTCTGATCTAGTTCAAATGAGGAGTGCTTGGAAGCAGCCAAATGGGGCCGTGTTTGTTGTGACAGGAGCTATGTGGGGTCACAGCAGCTGACACAACCCTTCTCCAGGATCTTCTGTCCCAAACACGCAGCCAGGCACTGCCTGCAAGGACTGTGCTGCTGGGAACACAGGCCCTGGGTTACAAATCACAGTAAAATTCAAGAAGAGGTGGTCTGGAGGAAACAAAGTACGTCTGCAATGTGTCCCTGGGTTAAAGAGCAGCCTGAAATGACCCCCTGCAGGAAAACATTTTTTCAGCATTACAGACTGGACAAAGTGCGTCTTCACAGCTGCCCTGTTTTATAACAGCTCAGAGGAAACTACTGTTTAAAGGACCTTGGTCTTCAAGACAAAAGAAAATGCCCAGAGCTCTCTTTATCCCTCAGATAACTACGTCTTCCTTAAACACAGTGCAAGCACGGACTGAAAATGGTTGCATCATCTCCTTCCCTCATGGACATCCAAAGCAGAAAAACAGTGCCAAGTCAAGAGAGAGACAAGGAGAGGATGTTGAGGAAAAATCTGGAGGTGCAGAGGGTCTAGGGGAGATGTGGAGGAAAGCAGGGGCCAGGGACCTGGAACAGGAAGCACTGGGAGAAACCACAGTGCAACACACAGGCAGAGAGCCTTGAGAAGACAATGTACTCTAGGACCTGGCAGACGACGTGGCAGTTGGACCAGCAGGATGGAAAACAAGCCTGTGTGAGATATGATAGAGTGCCTGTGTGAAAACAGAAGGCCACAGGGACGCACATCAGCAAAGAAGGGACACGAGTAAATGGTGGTGTGAGGTGACAGGAAGAGATAAAGCCAGTTGCCTATGGGAAGACCTGAGGGGGGTGGATGTCTTTGTACTTGGGTCCTCAAAAATGTGTATGCAGATTTGACTTAATGCTAGGTTTTGTTTGTTTCAAACTTCTGAATGTCATTCTTAACCCACCCCCCCAAGCTACCACCACCAAAAGCCTGCACATGCTGCATGACTCTCCTCTTTCTGGGATGATGAGGTCTCTCTGGAATTAGCACATCCTTGTAAAAGTAGAATTGGAGACAGAATTCCTTCTTGCAAAACTCTTCTGGGCTTTGGTTTGGCCCTGACATATGGGTCAGCAAGCTCTCACAGCATCACCTCACCCTCCTCTGCTTCCACTTCCACATGCTATCTCACACTGAAGAACTCCCTTCCCCTTTGGGTTTTACAGCCTTTGGCTGTTCATTATGCTCCTGCAGTAGTCAGACTACAGATTTAGCTCGCTTCATCCTTGCTCCTAAATCAATTGATACTCTGAGTTTTCACAGCAGTTTCACAGCCCTGAAGCCAGAGCTCAAGCCAGTACTACGGGTTCTGGATTGTGGGCTCAGTGTTATTTTCATTTTCTTTGCTCTTAGTCAAGGTCATCAGCAAAACATTTTGGGAATGTCTAGGCAGACACAGTCTGTTTCAATTGCCTTCACAAAGGGCAGGGGAGGGTTTGGCATTTCTGTGAAAGGTTAGTCTATGCCGAGTCTTTATCAGCCACAGAGGAAGCAGAATGTCTCTTCTGTAAAAAGAGACAATTAAAGTCGTGGTGGTGGCTCAAATTTTCACTGGGATTATGTGCAAATAAGACAACTGAAGGGTGACAGTGATATTTGAGCAATGGATCAGTGTGAGCCAAACATTTGAAAATCTTGCCCTTCACAGACAGATGAGCCAAACAGGAGATTTGGGCTAAGAGATGAAAATTATTTTCATGGCTGCTGCTCTGAGTTTTGCAAGAGGTGAGGATGAAAGGCTTTTGTTAACCCACATTTCCTGCTGTCTTTGTTTCAGCTGGCATGTAGCTTCTACCCTGGGGGATTTGTATGCGGGCATCAAAATGAGCCAGTGAGCCCTTACTGGCAGGGAACACTGTCTGCTAGCAAGAATCAGAGACTGGGAGTCCAGCCTCCAGGTTTGCTTCTGTCTGCTGAGAGACCTTCAGCAAGGTATTTAACCCAGCTGCCTCAAAGCTCCTCTCCTGCATGAGAACACCACCTACCTGACATGAAATGCCGTGGCTCTAAGTGAAGGATACACACCTGGCCGAGTGCTGCCGGCAGGGAGAGAACTAGAGGATCTGTATACTGCCCCCCTTCTAGCAGCAAAACCGTCAGCCAGTCCCATCCAGTTCCTTTCCCAATTTTTCCAAACAAAAGCCTGGATAAATTCAAATGCATCTAGTGGGCACTGCAAAAGTACAGAGAGCACCACATGCTACGTGCAGACTACAAATAACCTTTCAAAGAAAATGAGAGTAAGGAAAATGCTATTGCAGCAGGGAGCCCTGCCAAGAGGTAGAGGAAGAAACTGCGGATAGCCCAAAATTAATAAAACACAGCTGGGTTTAACTTGAGTCACCTGCAATCTCTGCCAAGGCACCTCTTGGTTTTGAGTTGGCAAAACAAATGACCTCGAAGAATCTGCACTAGAGGGGGGCACCTCTGAGGAACTGCTGCTGTTCCTGCTTGAATCCTGGTCTTTTACAAACATTCAGTACAAAAATGACATGCTTGTAAGGACGTGTGTCTTGCCTGCCCAGATTTATGACGCCACGTGGGATACCAGTGGGGGTGTTAAAAGCTGGTAAAAGTTTCTCTCCAAGTTCCAGAGCTTTACTCTTGAACACCTGTTAAAAGAAGAAGAGAGGATAAATTTTTGATGGACTGCTTGTGAATACTAGTCACACTGGATTCTTTCAAATCCACTTTTTCAAAGACACCATTATAAAAAATTAAAACTGCTGTAATGAGAACCTACCATTTCAGGCACACTGCTGCCCTAGTTCCACTGCACAGTAGATCTGAACCAAAAGCCATGCTGAACTTTGGTATCTACCTGAATGTCCTCTAAAAATCTATACTACACCTGTTCCAAGTCCGCTGCCAAACCCTCACCCTGGCTGAGAGCAGCCAGAGCTGCAGAGCTCAGAACACCCCAAATATCTCAGCAGCAAATTTCCATGATCTGAACTGATCCAAAGAGTACTTCTAGGGAAAAATTCTTCCCTTTTCCCAGGGCAGCAGAGGACACAGGGAGGTGAAATGACTGAATTAAAATCAAAAGATATCTTTCTAGGGTGAAACACAGTTAAGATTTACAACATGGGTTTGCCTAGCTTGTGTCATCTTGTGTCGTAAAAAAACATGATTTCCAACAAACAATCTTTTACTTGCAACTCTTTTCCAGGAAGGATTCATGGTTTCATGGCTAAGCTGCTCCTCTTCCATTTGTAATGACTCAGTTTTGGGCTTTCAAATCAAATTATAGTTTATGGTGTCTTGCAGCACAAAGCCACCATACACAATTATTTTGGGACAAACTGATACACGCACTAATCTTTGCTCCAGAGATTAGTCCTGATCAAGGGAAGCCTGTAAGTGACTTAGGAAATAAAGCACAAGCCTTTTACCTCTACCCCCCTATACCAGCCCAAGCTGTTGTAGGAGTTCTCAGAAAGCAGGAATTTATTGCTCTAAAAATACAGCACTGAGGAAACTTGAGCTCCCCTGTGGGCTTGCAGATCTTTGATACACTCACAAGGAGATAGGGGTTTGGTTCAGAAGGGAAAGCAAGAGACATGGACTTGATTTTTGCCTTCCAGCCTGGTGACACTAACTGGGTATATGACAGGCACTGCCCTGGCTGCTGAGCATCACTGCTGACTGCACTTCAAGAGGTCACTGCTGGAGTTTTATGGTTTAATGCGGTTTCTTTTTGCTCTGTTGATCTGAAGCCTGTTGAAGTTGTGACTGAGACAGGCCCTGAGTTGGGGCACTGAGTCTTTGAGAGTTTTCCCTGGAGGGAAATCACAGAGAGAAGTCATTCCTAGAACTCATTTAAAATGCAACTAAAGTAACAGAGCTGCTCCTGTGACTCCACGGATCAATGGTGCCACTATGCAGTGATGAGCCATCCCATCCTATTATGGTGGACAGCACCCAGCCATGGTCAGTGTATGGCATGAGAGCTAAGCTCTCATTTAAGAGCCAATCTTCCAGTTCCTTCACTCACAAAACCCCCCTTGGAATCAGTTTCTGCTTGCCTAAGACTTCCAGGGCAAAGGAATAATCTCTTCATCTCTCTACAGCTGTAAAATTCCAGTCCAGTCACATTATATAACAGATTATGGCATTAAGCCCTGGCCTCTGCTGGGCTGGAGAGAAAGAAGGAAAGTGGCAGTGAGAGCCTCCTGCTTCAGCCAGGACTCCTGGGGGATGGGAGCATCCACTGAACAGCTGTTCCACCACGCTGCAGGAGGGGCTGTGACGCCCAGCCCACACCTATTGGGCAAGGGGACATTTTGTGGAGCTGTATCACTGTGACACATGAGCTGGCAGGATACAGGTAGGTACCCTGCGCTGACACTCTGCCACCCTCCTTCCCTGTACCCCAGGGCACTTTATCTGAGAAACTACTGCTACAGAGAGACTGTCCAGGTAGAGTCTGGAGCACTTGCACCTACTCGGTTGCCTTACTTAGTCTGAGGCAGAATCTGGAATGATGTTTGATGAAATATTGCCTGTGTTTAGAATACAAAGGAACAAGTACAAAGACAAAGATCACTGCAAACGGCATTTCACTGGGGAGCAATGTGTCCAACTGAAAACATGTCTTGCTAGAATTGCCCACAGGAGAAAAGATCTTTGCAAATGAGCCATGCATGGTGTGTGCAAGGTAATTATGCGAGACTTAATTAAAAGAACATTAGTGGCATTTCGATATTCATAAAAACGATGGGTTTAGCCTGTTGTTATGGAGGGATTATCTGATGCTCAGGAGAAAAGCTGCTGGAGAAACCTTTCAGTTCTCTATTGGTGACTGTGTGAGACATGCAGAGCTGCTGAAACAAACCTCTTCTCCAGTTAAGTAGTATGCAGCCAACAGTCCTCCAATATAGCGGATGTTCACCTCAAACAAGGATGCTTCTCCGTTCTGCAAATACATAATGATATACTTGACTGCAAAGTCTGCACACACAAATGGCAGCTAAGGGGAACAGATTGCAGGCAGATACTTAAGTCTCCCAGTCCTCACCCACAGCGTAGCACAGCTTTTCGTCTAAGATCTCACAGCACTTTATTTGCTCTACAGTGACAGGTGGAGCCTGAAGGGAAGAGAAACACCCAAACTGTCCATTTATCACCAGCTGACAATATGTAAATCAGTTAGGGCAGATGTACTTGCTGTCCATCCATCCAACTCTGTCTTGGGTTATGCCTTACAAAATGCTGTGAGTTAGTGCAGGGCAAAAATTTGCCTCTTGAAGCGTTTTATTTAAAGAGAACATTGTACAGCCACATGGAAAAATTACTTTCTCCATTTTCTTGTGAAGAGGGCACTGCATTAGATAGATGTAATGCACTTTCTACATTAGGTGGGTATTTTCCGTCATTCAAAGACTCACCCCAGTCTGCAGGCTTCGGGAGGACCGCAGCCTATAGCGTGCCTGTCATGGACACGCGTACAGAGAGACAAACTGCGTGATATCCATGTGCCCCCCCACCCCAGACAGCAGACACAGACAGATATGGTTCACTGAATCGCTCAAGAACCCACTCAACTGGAACAAGTTTTGCTCTACCTACTCAGCTGATGACCAGCAAATGTCAAAACGACTGCATTCAAAAAGTGCCTTTAAAAAATACACACTCCTGGCTGTTGAATCTGCATGATAAATGATTCCTACCCTCACACAAATGCATAAAGCCAAAAATCAAAAAGATCTTCCACCAACACAGAGCTTTCAGTGAGCAAAGGGGCACTTGAACCTCTGTGCTAGCCTACCCTTTCCAAATACCTGCAGGTTACAAATCAGACCAAGTGCTTTCTTGAGATGATGACTGAAATTACATGAGACAGATCACGGTACCCAGTTTCAAACAGAGCTTGTGGGCCTTGGAGTCCCTGCCTCACTCTTCTGGACTATTAGAGTTCCTTGTACAGAGCCAATTTTTAATTAATTTCCCTCCTTCTCTCCCTCTGCTGTGCTTTCTGACTCCACCGATCAATCCATAGCATTCATTCTTGTCTTTGCAGATCAATCTATTCTGCAGGCCAAGATTAAAAGCTTTTATGAAATCCAGATAAATTATCTCCCAGTTGATTTTGTCCCTTGTTTATCGATTCAGTAACATACTGAGAGCATTCACCAAATTTATCAGATGTGGTCTTCCTTTTATGAATACATGAATGCCAGTCGTGCCCTCCCAAATGATGCTTTTCTATAAAGGCAGCTGCATGCATTGTTCTCATGGGGAGAACCATTTTTCACAACAGACAACTAGGCTGGCATTAAAAAAATAAAAGTTTGAACTGCACTCTGGTTTTAACATTCTCTGTATGTCACTGATGAGATCCCATCAGCTCTCCCACGAGAAATACAAGAGTTCGCTTGGAGACCAACAGTCAGATCTATGGCAAGAGGCCCCGGCCACACAGTGAGATAAAGGACAGCATCCTTCATCTGATAGCACTGCAAGGCATGTGTTGCTCCCAGAGTCCCAGCAAGTCTAACACTAGCTCTAAGAAGTGGCTAGGAAAGCTTCACTGGCCACAGAGAGTGAGCATCTCTGGCCATTTTTAGAGATGCTGCCCTTCCTTCCAAATCTAGGCTATGTGCTCCCACTCTGCTGCCACGGTGCCACGCTCCCACTGCAAAAGTCCCAGCAACAACACAGCAACAAAGGGCTCTGCCAAGGAGATCAGCATTTTCAATCTTAATGTAGAAAGAAAACTTGTCTTATCACAGGCAGACATTTAACTGAGATGAAACAGAACTTGTTCTTTGATGAACAAAACTTCCTTGGAGTATCTAATAATTACAGTTGTTTTTATAACCCAGACGAAAACACAAAAACCATTAAACACTGAATCTCATTTTCAGCCAGACACCGTGAGTCTGATCTGGTGGCCCTTGGCTGGAACCCAGTGCCATGTATAGGCAGAAGATGGGGTGAATCATCACAGTAGTTCCTTTGGCCTTAAAAAAAATATACCAGAGCTGAGTGGTTTCTTTCTCCCCAGACTCCACAGGTCCCCTCCCCAAATGATTCTTAGAGAAGATTGTGATCAGAACTGGTCAAGCATGCTGAGATTTGGTGACACAGACAGGAATTCCCAGTAACTGACTCACCACGTTCAAGTCAAAGCTCTTCTCCACCCACTTCTTTGCTTCTTGGAATTCCTCCTCGAGTTCCATGATGTACAGAGTATCTAAGGCGTCTACCACCGTAGCTCCTCGAAGGCCTCCTGCATTGCAAACAGAACAGCACGATGAAGCCCCATCAATGCAGTCGTCTTTAGTTCTAAATCAGTCTGCAGGAGCTGGGACAGGCAGCAGCCTCCAGTCCCAATACTGGGAGTGTCTGGATGGGAACCAGACTGGCCATGGTCTAGGCTGAGATCTTCTAAAAGGACTAATGAGCTCTTCTATCCAAAATGGGCTGCCTTGGAGGGGCCCAATTTTCAAAGGCCTGACACTTCTGAAAGAATACCCCCAAGGAACAGCTCAAGGTCCACACTTTAAGTCACCAGTCATGACTGAAAGCCTTGGCCTTGTTTTCCAGTCTTATCTTGGCCAAAGCGGCCAGGCAATTCCACTCCTAATCTTTGTTGAGCTGTAAACCTAAATTCAGTCTCTTTCTAACCCAGTTACAAGCACAACCCTCTTTTAAGTGAGAGAACTGTATTTTTACAAGAGCATCCAAGACAGGACTTTGATCATCCTGTCTTGATGCAGTGTTTGTTACCTGGGGCACAAAGTACGTTTGCACCATGCCATGACCCAGGGTTTCCCACTACCAGTACATATACAAACCACAGCCTCATCTGGCAGCAGAGAAACCAGAAACTAATCTCAGTGAATCCTGAACAGAGAGTGGATGACTTTAAGGAAAGCTCTCTTCCTTTGGCTAACAGAATGGTCCCTGTGAGCACGCTCACCAGTCTCCAGCAGATGGCAATGGGACACACGCAGATGAAGCAAATGCCAACCAAGTACTTGGACCAACCATGTCATTCATGTAAAAAAACTGCATGCCAAGTGCTGTCTTACGCACAAGGACTATAGGAGAACTTCCAGCGAGACAGAATGACATGGCATGCCATGCCAAGAAGACTATACAGGGTGTGTAGGCAATCTTGTAGCAGTTGAGATTAAATGAAACTAGAGATGTTAACAACCCTGGGTTTGGAACATCTCAGTGGTAGAGTCTTATTTCTGTCAGGGTTCCCTAAAATTACTCCTAGTATGAGAAAGCAAAGGGTATGAAGCACACTGTGACTCAAACCCCTTTGTGCTTTAATTACAAAGGCCATCACTTTCCTGGGTAACTCAAACCAAACACAAATCCTCACATGGAAGATTCCAGTTTGGAATCATCATCAGTCATCCCTCTGTGGATGTAACGCACCAGAGACACAGGCGTGAAGCTGCCTCTGTATTGCCGTCAGAAAGCTGCATGTGCAGGCCCACACACACACACACACACACTGCTCACTTGCAGCCACATTCCTACCCACCCCCTGACAGTCAGACCTCTTGGAGTCTCTGGCAGCAAAGATGCTTGGATGAGGTTCAGGTTTCGTTTCTGCAGAAGAAACTGCTTGTATCGGCTCTGTCCCTATCATCTCCCTTTCCACTGTAACCACAAAGACACACACACTCTGCTTATGCCCAGGGGTTTTCCCGAGATATATTTCTATTTGGCTCAAGTCAGTTCCTTCTTCTAACAGACTTGAAAATACCACCCCAAACTCCTCCAGTTTTCCCAGGCTTTTATTGCATGCTCAGATTGGTTTGGCACTTTTGTAATACCTTGAGTGTTACTTCAATACTAGTTCTGCTTAAGAGAGGAAAACCCAGCAGGATGCACTGTCGAGGAACTACTGCAGAGGGGAGAGGAAGGCAAAGGTGAGTCACATGTCATGAACCTTAAGACTTTGGTCTTTTCTTATTAAGGAAAAAAAGTGACTGTGTCTGATGTACATCATACCTTTTCCCCAGAGGAGAAATGCTCAGATCCACCAATTTCATACCGGGCTCATTTATGCTTTCAGCATTCCTCACCCGTAAGAAAGACATCCTGCCTTATTTTGTTGATGTTACAAGATTGCAGTTTTGACACTTTTCAGCCAGTCAGCACATCATTGCTTTAATGAAAACCCAACCAAGACTTTACTGCTCAACTACAGATTGCTGGCTTTCGGATGCTGTCTGCATCAAAAACAGGGTCTGTGGAAAAGGGATGAAGGCAGTAGAGAGAGCCTCTAGAAATCCATTTATTCCTGCAGGCTTGCGAAATTATCATCTAACCAGAGCTATCTCGGAGAGTGCAATAGATGGAGTCAAACAGCCACTCGATCAACTGGTGGGTTCTAAAAAACAGCTGAGCTGATGTTTGTATGGCATGTTTTCCAAAAGCAGTGACCATGAAAAACAACATCATCGCAGTCAGAGCTGCTTTTATCAACCTTAATGATTCTTCAATATTAATGATTATGTGATTTTTATACACTTTCCTATTAGCAAGGAGAGACATACCAGCTCAGAGCAATACGGACGCAGACAAAACATTTTAAAAAGAGAAGGAAGGGCAGTGCCGCCTGAGGCACAGCCCATTACTGTGATATTCTGAGAGTAACACTAACAGGCTCGATTTAATTTGATGATATAATCCACAAAGGCTTTCATAATCTGCGGAGAGACAATGAGAAGAGTTGGCTTTGCTCAAACTAAACAGAGACAAAGAGACAATAAAGTTACAATTTTCTGGGATGATTAATTGAAGTGAAAAATATCGCTTGAATTGACAGAGCCTTTTATGTTTTTAGCAAGTAAGGCCTTTAAATACACGAATTGCATCGGGGATTAGGAACATGCTCGGATCTTCACTAAAGCATAGCTCTGAGTTGCTTAGCTTTCCTCCCCTGTACTTGACAAAGTGGAGGGCAAACCTTGCTTCCCTGCTGGTTTGTCTTTGTGTCATTTTAAACATTTGTTTTAAATATTCCCCTAAACACTCTGTACCTGAAGGTCCGCAGGCTGTGTGTTTTGTACAAGGGTCTTGTCGATGTTTCCTTTCTTCTGCACCAGCTTTGAAGCAACTGCAAAATGCATGGCTGACTTTTTTTCCTGCAGCTAACAAAGTCTATTGCAATACCAAGAGCTACCGGCTCAGCTTCAGCCGTCTCCTGAGTATGATAAAAAAGAACCTCCTTCCCCTCCACAACCATGCAGAGAGCAAACCAGGCAGCAGGACTTTCTTGTTGTGTCTCTGTCACTTGCCAGGACAGAGAGGACATCTGGGAAGGACCCTGACCCCCCCGTGCACACTGCCATGTTACTTCTTTGCTACAGAAGCATCTTCCTTCCTGCTCAGACTTTGCTTCATCAGATATATGACAGAGCTCGTGATACAATGTCCAATGGCTCTGATTATACTCAGCTGTCAAAAGATGGTGCTATACATACCCTAGCATGTTTATTACAATATATTGTAACATAATACAATATATATACACCCATTTATAAAGGTGACAGTATTTGCTTGACATGCTGCTTATTCTGAGAGATGTTAAAAAATAATCACCTTTCCAGATCTACACATTATAATGTGAGGTATATAATCAAAGGGGAAGCAGCTTCAAAAGGAAAAGGAATCAAAATCCACTCTGACACTTTTGACTCTTGCTGACACTCCCTTCTCTAAATTACTGGTTTCAGCCTCCTTGTACTCTCTCTGAGGGAGTTTTAAAGTAGAAACCAAGAAACCCTCAAAAGAAATCCTTCTAAAAGTACCCAGAAATGGTAGCAATGACTTTTAAGCAGGACTCCTGTTTCCACAAATCTAAGGCCCTGTGTGCTCTGAAAAGCCCCTCCATGATCCTGCTGCAAAACTGGCTTGGAGTGGAGATACACCTCGGCTGGGAGAGACAAGGTCACTTCGCTGATGGCCAAAAGGGAAGGTGTGTCTATCAGACACAGCTCTAGGATCCACACCAGCTCCTGTACTGCCCAGTGAGAGCCCACAGCCTTTCTGAATGGGAAAGAGGAACCTTCCACTGGGACCAGTTGGAAGAACTAGGACCTCAGGCATAACACAGGGATGCTTATCTAGGAGCATTTCTAACCGAAGGACTTCATGGCAGCTCTTGTGACAACAAGTGGCAGGGCCTCTTCCCAGAGTTTCATCTGTAAGAGAACAGCAGCACACCAGAAGCAGCAGGTCGTGGTAGCATTACAAAGGTTCATCTCTTCGTGAGCTGAAGGAGGGCCTGTACCACCCTGTCCCCAGCCACAAGTGTATTTGCTCTTTTGTGCACGAGAAGAATGGAGACATCCATGTAGGCAACAAGGCTGCTCTGTTCCTACTTCCACCCACCCAGAGGAACCGAGCATCCACCCGCTCGCTTGTGAACACTGCCACAGAAATCACTAACAAATGTTACATTAATTAACATAATTCTTGTAAAAGGTGCTGAATGGAGCACTCCGTGGAGAGGAGATGGCATTGTACGTGCACCGTACCCCCAGAGCCTCAGTGGGAATGTGTTTTAATGCCAGTCTGGAGAAGCAAGGCTATTCAAGCAACACAGTCCCAGAAGGGCCTTCACTGGGAATTAACAGCAGTGCTATCTCTAAAAACCGTTGATAAAGCCCACAGCAGCTTGTTCTCACCTGAGGTAGATAATCTGAACAGAAGGGCTCATCTTCTTCTTCTCTCCCTGACTCATCCCTGCTGCCTGTTAGCTTAGGGGTTCATTAAAGCCACTTGCAGCAAGAGTTTGTAAGACAAAACACAATTCCAAAGACTCATTAGGAGGTTTAACGTGTGTTCACTGGGCTAGAGGGGGAACGTTTTGGAAGACATATGCCAATCTCAACAACCAAAGGAACTAACAAGTACCAAAGGAACTAACAAGTACCAAAGCCTGCCAGGCTACCCGGGAAGCTGCCAGCCAGGCTCCTCCTGCCAGGTGAGCTCCTCTCTGAATCCGCTGCAGGGCACAGGGCAGAAGAGAAGAGCTGCCACCATGGCCTGGGGCTCCTCTGACCCCAACGCAAAGATCTGTATTGACTGTGAGCCCACAAACTACAGCCAAGAAGTGGCAGATATGTGGTCCCGATCACAACCTGAACAAGGATTGTAAAGGGTGAAAAGAAGTCAGGCAAGTGGGGAACCTACGAGTAACAGATGGGGCCTCCGGCACACGCGCAAGATTCATGCACATGTCCCATGGCCACGCTC